GGGCAGAGCTGCTGGGGGCCGGTGGGGCTCCTACCCCCCACCCCGGACATCTCCCCAGAGGAGGCTCCCTCCCGGCTCTTGGTCTTGGGGGGCTGGTCCTGCTGACTGCCGGCCCCCTCGAAGACTTCGGCACCCCGGCCGTGGAGCTGCTTGTGCCACTGACCTCCTGACCAGGATGGCTGGAGGGAGACCCCCAGCAGGGCAGAGAGCAGTGCACCTCCTGCTCCCTCCCACTGGCCGCTGGCCGGGCTGGGCACCACGGAAGCAGCGGGACCCTCTGCCCCTGCCACTGCAGGAGACGGGGGGTCTCTGCTGCCTGCCCGGGTTCTGCGCGTGCCTGTCTGGCCCGGAGCTGATCCAGCCTGCCCCGGGCGCCCTCCCCCGATGCAGGCGCCGTGGTAGAGCCCATCTGGAAGCTCGGCCGGCAGCCGGCGCTTTGCTGAGTCACAGAGCCCCGAGTGGCTGCACGCGCCGCGCCCGCCCAGAGCTGCAGGGAAGGAGACTGGGTAAGCAGGGCGCCCCGGAGGGCGTGGGGTGCCCATGCTCACCCGGGCACGGCAGAGGCACGGCGAGGGGCTGGGCCGAGTCTTTCCGCGGAGGCTGGCTAAACTCCCGGTGCATCTGCAGTGGTCAGTGGTGACCCTGCAGCAGGGAGACCCGGCTGGACAGCGGGCACAGGTGTGCCCAGCATGGTGCCACGGGCTCCTTGCGGGAGGGCGCTCGCACACACCTGACCCGGGTTCCTCGCTCCTGACCGAGCCCACTGCCCAGGCGGAGTCCAGGGCAGCCTCTTCTCCTCTCTGGAGTCTTGGAAACGTGGGCAGGGAGCCCATCCGTGTGCTTCTCACGGGACTGGCACTGGGCCTGCCTATTCTCCGTCCCAGAGCACCCCCTTAGCCCAGGGTGCGGGTCCTGCTGCTGCTCAGACCTCCCTTGGTGGGGCCCAGGGACCTGCAGGCTGCGATGGAGAGGGGGACACGGGCCGGTTCCTGCTCCTGACACAGCTCTGAGCCCAGGTGACACATGTGCTGGGCTGCTAGGCCAGGGCCCTGAGGTCAGGGGCCACATGCGGGTGGGTGGATGCTGCCACCCTTCGCTGGGTGGGGAGGAGCCCCACAGCGTCCCCTGGCCATGAGTGCCTCTGAAGCCCAGGGCTCGGCCCCAGGAGCTGTCAGCCGCACGGCTTTGCTGTTGAAGACTCTCCCGTCCTCTGGCTCAGGGAGGGTTGGGGCGGGGGTGGGGAGGCGACTTCAGGTGCCTGAAGCCCGAGCTCAGCCCAGCCTGGCGGAGCAGTTTCCTTCCAGACGAGAGGACGCCTGTCCTGCTGTGTGAGGGTCCCGGGACGGCCGCCCACACTGCACCAGCGGCCCCCCAGGATGGGGCTGAACCCACACCTGCACCAGCAGCCCCCAGGACGGGCGCCCACACCTGCATTGCAGCCCCCGCTCCCAGCGAACTTTCCAGGAAGCGCCGGGTGTTCTGTGGGGGTGAACTTTAACTCAGAGAAACCAACATGTGCCAGACTCCTGCAGCCCCCACAGGTTCGGGGAGCGTCCGGATCTTCGAGCATGTTCCCCGAGGGCATCGGGGTCAGAGGCTGCTCCCTGGGATGCCCCGGCACAGCTCCCCGTAGCTCCCCGTGAGCTCTAGGGAAGGTCGGCGCAGAGTGAGGTGGAGGGTGAGCAGGTGGAGCACCTGAGCTCCTTCCCGGGCTGACGACAGAGAACGACACGTGGGGGACAGCCCGGCCAACTTGGGACCTCCCCTCCCCTTCTGGAGACGGCCGCTCTGCCCCCTGGCAGGCCTCAACCAGTGTGTGGGCGTGACCGGGGCAGGGCTGCTGTCCCGTGGCACCCTCGGGTCCAAGCAGGGAGCTGCTGGCTTCCCTGGGGACCAGAGGCTGCGGCTCACCCAGGCTGAGGCCTCCTGGCAGGAAGGGGGCGGGGAGGGGATGGTCGTGACACTGGCCGCGCCCTCCCTCACAGCCGTGGCTCGGTCAGAAGCTGCGCCCAGAGCTGCTCTCTCCCGTGGGGCAGTGTTTGGTGGCCGGCGGGGTCTGGGGCCTGGCCTTGCGGTGAGTCCCTGCCGCCTGCCTCTCCGCCAGCACTTCAGGGTTCTCCGTGCGAGTCCCGCGAGGTGTGGGTGGGGGCAGCTTCTCCCTGGTCTCCCCCGGTTCTGGTCTCTGCGGGTCTAGTCCCCGTGCTCCCTCTGCCCTGCTCTTCGGGCCGAGAGGACTGGCTGGTCCTGGCTGGCTTCCCCGTCTTTCCCCTTCGTGTGCCTTTGGGCCCAGTGTTTGGGGCCCACGCCTGGTGGTGCTTGACGCATACTCCTGGCCCGGAGGGTCAGTCCTGGCAGTGCTAGGGGAGACTGAACCCAGGGTAGGCAGGTGCCAAACAAGTGCCTTAATCCCCATGCTGACTCACCAGCCGTCCACTCCGGGTCAGGTCACTTTGGGTTGATGTCACGGTCTCGCTCAGGTGGGCGTGAAGGAAGCCGGCTTCGCGCTGTGGCCGGCACGCTCCAAGGACATCGGCTGCCGTGCTCGGCTCTCGCTCCGGCCCCTGGAGCGCTCGGGCGAGCTGGTCGGCATTCCTGCTCCCCGTGGGGCCTGTGGCTGCCCTCAGCACTGCCCTGGGGACCGTGAGAGGCACAGCCTTGCGTGTGCAGACTCGGCCCCCACTTCTCCCAGCTGCTCTGCCTTTAGTGTCTGCACGAGCAGGCCGAGACCCCGCAGCTTCCCTGTCTGAGAAACGCCCGTTTCCCTTCCTTTGTTTTTGTTTATTTATTTATTTATTTATTTATTTGCTTTTGGGGTCACATCTGGCGATGCACAGGGGTTACTCCTGGCAGTGCTCAGGGGACCCTATGGGATGCTGGGAATCGAACCCGGGTTGGCCGCGTGCAAGGCAAACGCCCTGCCCGCTGTGCTATCGCTCCAGCCCTGTTTCCCTTCCTTTGGGGAGCAGCTTTAATAATCTCCAACTCTCCCACGTGTGACTTCACAGCACACCTGCCTGCAGTCATGGGCTGGGCAGCCCCCCAGAGTCCCTCCCATCCCAGCCTGCGTCCACGTCAGGGTTGCCCACCGTGCCGTGGGCTCCGTGGATCTGCGTGCTTGCTTGGGTCGCCGTGTTGCCAGGCCCCTCGCGGGCATGGGCCAGGGGTAGGTGCACCGTGAGGCATGGGCCCGCCAGCCTCTGGACTGTCACTCAGGGCCACGTCCCCATCTGCAGCTGGCCCAAAGCAGCTTACAGAGTTGTGGCCCAGGGTGGGGGTGGGGGTGGGGGTGGGGGGGTGAGCGTCCGTCTCTGATGGGGGACGTGCTTGTGTCGGGATGCCCCTCAACTGCTTCCAGAGGCTGCACCGAGCTGGGAGGAAGCCCGAGCGTGCTTCGAGACATCGTCTCCCTCTAGAGGCCTTGAGGCTGTGGCATGACCCTCGTGAGGGCTGGCAACCGTGGGCCATCCCTGGGGGCTGAATCTGTGGCGTGTTTCCCAAGTGCTGTGGACCAGGCTCTGCAGCTGCTGCGTGCTCCCCGGTCTGTGCACATCAGCCCCCGTGTGCTCCGGGGTCCGCGTGCAGTGGCCTGACGGCGAGTCCTTGGCCGATGTTCCTGTGGACACGAGCTCTTTCGGGGGACACGAGAGGAGAGCACTCGTGTCCCCGCCGGGAGGGAGGACGGCATTGCAGGGAGAAGTGGGGTCAAGCGAAGCAAGCAGGGGTTGGCGGGCGGCGCCAAGTTCCCTGCAGCTCGTGTCCCGGAGGCTGGCGGCGCTGTCTGCAGTTCTGGGAAGGGGTGGCGGCGCCTGTGCTGTGGGGTCACCTGCTTCATGCTTTGTCCCTACAGCGCCGGTTTCCTCACTCCTGTGCTCCACAGACCCTCCTCCCCACGCAACCTCAGATCCTCCTCCCTCACACCCTCCTCCCTCAGACTTGACTTCCTCACACTCTCCTCCCTCGGACCCTCCTCCTACATCGCCTCTGCTCTCCCAGGGGACCCGTCCACTTCCGCGGTTCCGGCAGAGCGGGCTGTGGATTCTGTCGGGGGAGCCTGGCACCCCGTGAGGCCTGCACCCCCCCCCATGTCCCCCAGGCCCTGCATGCTGGTGGCTGCGCCTTCATGCACCGACCCTGATCTGCGTCATGGGTCACAGCCTGAGAGCCTGCTGGAAAGCCCTCCCCCCGCCAGTGCCTCCCACTGGTCCCACCTGTGTTGGGGTCTCGGCGGCCCCTCATCCTGGTTTCTCGGGTGCCGCATCCGGTGTTGCGGGGCCGAGCCAGGGGAGGGCCGTCAGGGTGAAATCAGCGCTCGAGTCACACAGGGCTCCGTCATTCAGGAGATGGCATGAATGCGTGCGTTTATTCAGAGCACAGGTACAGACTTAAGTATGTTTCCACAGCCCACCCAAAAGAGAGGACGGGGGATGGGACGTGGGAAAGCGGATGGGACAATGAGCAGAGCCATGCACCGTTGGTCAGCCACCTGGTGACCCTTTCGGCATAATGCTATTGGTCGGAACGACCTGCTTTGATATAGCTTTGACATATCTGCAAAGATTGTGCTGTTCCTCATACATCATTTACAAATCGTTTACGAGGGTGCATTTTCCCCAAACCGAAACCTCCTGTACTGGGAAGCTGCCCAGCTTTGAGCAGGACAAAGGGGGAATGAGAAATCAAGCATGCTTTTACTTGGTCAGTAGGCAACGCTCGGGTCTCTGTGCTTTGAGACCAGTGACCGTGTGTTCCAGAGTGAGGGGCCAGGGCCGAGCCTGTGGGGTGTCAGGCCCAGGCCCTGAGGTGGGGATGGCAGGGGTGTCCCCAGGGAGGAGTGTGATTCCCCGTGAGGTCTGTCCCCAGGGCGCCCCCACGGGGCCTCCGTGGCCGGCAAGGGGGGCTGCAGATGCTCACCCCCCGTGTGCTTCCGCAGGTGAGAACATGTAGCGGGGCCCAGCCTCGTGACTCCGCGACCAGCCACCACCCTCGGCCACACCTTCACCATGTCCAAGAAAGGCCGAGGCCGGGGGGACAGGATGGAGGCCCTGGCTGCGCTTCAGGCTGCCAACGAGGAGCTGCGGGCCAAACTCACGGACATCCAGATCGAGCTGCAGCAGGAGAAGAGCAAGGTGGGCACCCGGCACAGCGGCCCTAGGGGCAGCTGGCCGCACTGGGCCCGGGAGCGGGCGGAGGTGATGTCTCTGTCACTGCTGCCCGGGGTCCCGGAGCTCCTCCCAACCAAAGTCATGGATGCAGGAACAGCCGCGGGCGGGTGACGTGGGGCTGCCCAGGACACAGGGGCAGCCGCAGGTGACGTGGGTCTGCCCGGGAGGGCGCGTTCTGCCCCTGCTGTGACCCCTCACCGTCCCTCCTGCTGCAAAGCCTCTTCCCTCCTAGTCTCACGTCTTGATGATGCCCCTCCAGGGGTGAGGGGAGTCCTGAGCAGAGTAGCTGCTTCCCACCTGCGGGTGCAGGTGTCAGTGTGGCCCCATCTGAGACGCAGGTATCCTTGGTCTTATCTGAGACGCGGGTGTCCGTGGCCCCGTCTGAGACGCGGGTGTCCGTGGCCCTGTCTGAGTTGTGGCTGTCACTGTGGCTCCATCCGAGAGGCAACTGAGGCTGCAGCTGGCTCAGCGCCCACAGCCACGGGGAGACTGGGCGGCTCCTGTGGTCAGGAAAGTCCCTCGGACCTGGTGTGGGCTCAGCAGGATGTCACCAGAGGTGGAGAAGCTCTGGGGGTCTCAGAGCTCCCTATGCTTGGCCTGAGTTGTCCTAAAGGCGAGTGTGCAGTGGACCTGCTGGACGGGGGTCATCAGCCTGCCCGTCTACCCTGACAGGGGACGCAGCAGTGTGGCCCGTGAAGTGTGGGGGAGACGTCCAGGAGAGACTGGACCAGGGAGTGGCTGCAGAGTGCCAGGCCCGAGCCAGGAGGAGCAACGGGCAGCAGTCAGGGCCGAGTGAAGAGCCACAAGGGAGGTCCCAGGACTGAGGGGCAGGGATGGCAGTGTGTGGTAGGGCCATGGAGCAGAGTCTCCACAGCCCTTTGGGGAAAGACAGAAAGCCAAGGCCTGATGGTGTGGGTGGGGGCCGGGTTCGCAGAGACCGGGCAGCCATGGAGACCCGGGCAACCCCCAGAGGCTCAGGCAGGTCACGGAGACTCAGTCAGGTCCCAGAGACCCGGGCAGGACCAGAGATCGGGGCAGGTCACAGAGACACAGGCAGGTCACAGAGACCCAGGCAGGTCACAGAAACCGGGACAGGCCCAGAGACCCGGGCAGGTCACAGACACTCGGCCAGGTCACAAGGACCAGAGACTGGGGCAGCTCCACACACTCGGGCTGGTGCATGGTGGGGGTCCTGGTGATTTGCCAGCAACTTCTGTCCTGAGCACTGTGGCGGGGGAGCTTGTGTTCTAGGCCCCACAGATGGGGTCCTGCAGGTGCTGTGGCCAGGCCACCCCAGTGAGTGGGGGCAGGACAGGAAGAGACCTGGGCCCCCTAGGTGGGAGGGGTGGGTTTGCCTATGGAGCAGTGCGGCTGCTGCCCAAGTCTCAGGGTCGTGCAGGTCACATGGGCCCAGGACACGACCCCCCTCCGCTGCACTCTGGAGGACAAGGAGCGGCCCTTGCCCAGCAGGGTGAGGCTGGGAGAAGCTGTGACACCCCGTCTGTCTCGGCCCACAGCCCCGGCCCACGGGTGCAGGGCTTGGAGTGGCAGCCCCGGGCAGAGTCCACCCGGGGCCCCGGAGAGGCTGGCGGAGTGGACGCCCCACCCGGGACCTCTGACGTGGGAAGGGTCGGAGTGCACACATGGCAGGTCGGGAGGTGCAGGTTGGCCAGGGTGGGGCCAGCAGCCCTGGCGCAGGGAGCCGCGGGGCCCTGACAGCCTCAGTGCCTGGAAGGGCAGGAGGGGATGGGCTGCAGGGGGCAGCACCAGGCTCAGCGGCCTGAGCACTGGCTTTTGGGCTCTCTGGGGGACTGGATGGGTGGGTCTGGGCAGACCTGGGTCCGGGCCCCCTCCTTGCGGCGTCACCTCCACGCCCGACAGGGTTCACGTGGCCGAGGTCAGGCCAGGGTCCGGGAGGAGAGGGAGGACGGGCTTTGAGGCACCCGCTCTGTGTGCGTGCCCGCCCGCCACCACATCGGGTCCCCGGAGCACTGCTGGGCGCGGCCCCCGAACGGTCCCAGGTCTAGAAAGACAGCGGCGATCTGAGACGCTCGCACGACACCCCGCCGTGGGGGCTGAAGCGGGGGCGGGGGGCAGGGCCCAGCCCGCTCTCCTCCGGGTGCCCCCTGGAGCAGGTGGCAGGGCCGCGTGGCTCCCGGGCGCGGCTCCTCGGCTCCTCCCGGGCGTCGCGGCGGCGTCCCGAGCCCGGCGCCCCCGTGTTGCAGGTGAGCCGCGTGGAGCGCGAGAAGAGCCAGGAGCTGCGGCAGGCGCGGGAGCACGAGCAGCACAGGAGCGCGGTCCTGCTCACGGAGCTCAAGAGCAAGCTGCACGAGGAGAAGGTGAAGGAGCTGCAGGCCGTGCGCGAGGCGCTGCTGCGGCAGCACGAGGCGGAGCTGCTGCGCGTCATCAAGATCAAGGACAACGAGAACCAGCGGCTGCAGGCGCTGCTGCAGGGCCTGCGCGACGGCGCCCCCGACAGGGCCAAGACGGCGCTGCTGTCCGAGGCCAAGGAGGAGGCCAAGCGCGGCTTCGAGGTGGAGAAGGTGAAGATGCAGCAGGAGATCTGCGAGCTGAAGGGCGCCAAGAGGCAGGTGGAGGAGGCGCTGACCGTGGCCATCCAGGCCGACCGGATCAAGGCCGCCGAGATGAGGAGCGTGTACCACCTGCACCAGGAGGAGATGTCGCGCATCAAGAAGGAGTGCGAGCGCGAGATCCGCAGGCTGGTACGTGCGTGCGGGCGCCGGGAGCACCCGCCCCGCGAGGCCGGGCGGGGCCGCCCTGCCCAGGGAGCCCCGTGGCTGCCGAGGCCCGGGTGCCCCTCGTGGAGGAGGCTCTGGCGGGCTCGGCGCTGGCAGCTTTGTCTGGGCTCCCCGGCGGCCAGGACCCGGGCCCTCGGCGCTGCGGGCACGGCTCCGGGAGGGGGCTCGGGTCCCCCGATGCCCTCGCGTCCAGAGCAGCTTCCTGGCGCGCGGCTCTGGGCTTGTGGAACTGCGGCTTCTCCCTGCACAGCCTTTCCTTGTCCACACGAGTGTGTGCGTGTTTGTGTGCGTGGCCGCTGGAGCCTGCATGAGCGCGTGGTGGTGTGGCGTGTCTCTTGGTGCTTGGTGCACATGTGGATGCGTGTGCGTAGGCCCGTGAGGACCCATGTGGGTGAGAGTGTGGTTTGTGGGTGTGTCCGTGTGTGCACGTATGTGGTGCGTGTGTGAGAGTATGCAAGCCTGAGTGTTCGGGCGTGGCGGGAAGCTGAAGTAGGCCGCCCGGAGCGTCACCCAGACTGAGGACACTGGCTTCGGAAAGCCCTGGAAAACTTTTCCTAGGCTGCTCTCAGCGGAGGGGGGGGGCGGGTGGGGCCGGGTCAACCAGGAGAGGCGGAGCATCACTCGGTGGGGGCGGAGCCTCACTTTATGGAGGTGGAGCCTCACTTAGTGGGGGCGGGGCCTCACTTTATGGGGTGGAGCCTCACTCGGTGGGGGCGGAGCCTCGCTTTGTAGGGTGGAGTCTCACTCAGCGGAGGGCGGAGCCTCACTTTATGGGGGTGGAGCCTCACTCGGTGGGGGCGGAGCCTCGCTTTGTAGGGTGGAGCCTCACTCAGTGGAGGGCGGAGCCTCAATTTATGGGGTGGAGCCTCACTTAGTGGGGGCGGAGCCTCACTCGGTGGGGGCGGAGCCTCACTTGAAGGGGGGGTTGGAGCTGCGTCAGTCAGAGGAGGTGGAGGCGGGTCAAGCAGGAGGCGGAGCCATGTCAGTGGGGGCGGAGCCTCAATTTACGGGGCGGAGCCTCACTGAGTGGGGGCAGGGCCTCGATGGGGGCAAGCCTCACTTTATGGGGTGGAGCCTCATTCGGTGGGGGCGGAGCCTCGCTTTGTAGGGTGGAGCCTCACTCAGTGGAGGGCGGAGCCTCACTTTATGGGGTGGAGCCTCAGTGGAGGGCGGAGCCTCAATTTATGGGGTGGAGCCTCACTCGGTGGGGGCGGAGCCTCACTTGAAGGGGGGTTGGAGCTGCGTCAGTCAGGGGAGGTGGAGGCGGGTCAAGCAGGAGGCAGAGCCACGTCAGTGGGGGCGGAGCCTCAATTTACGGGGCGGAGCCTCACTGAGTGGGGGCGGGGCCTCGATGGGGGCGAGCCTCACTTTATGGGGTGGAGCCTCGCTTAGTGGGGGCGGGGCTTCACTCGGCGGGGTGGAGCCTCATTCGGTGGGGGCGGAGCCTAACTTTAAGGGTGGGTGGAGCTACTTCAGTCAGGGGAGGGGGGGCGGGTCGAGCAGGAGGCGGAGCCACATCGGTGGGGGCGGAGCCTCACTAGATGGGGGCGGAGCTGCTCAGTCAGAGAGGCGGAGTGGGTGAGTTAGGGGAGGGGGAGGGGGCGCCTGTCAGGTCAGGGGAGGGGAGTCGAGTTGGGTCAGGGCTGGGGCAGCCGGGTCAGTCAGGGGAGGGGGAGGGGGAGCCCGGCAGTCTGTCAGTCGGGGCGGGGTCGCGCTCTCGGGGAGGGTCGCGGGGTGCCCGAGGCAGGAGCACGGGGCGGGGGGCGGGGGCGGGGGTCCGCCTCGCCTGCGGCCCCGTGCAGCGCCCCCCGCCGCCCCCCGTGCGGTCCCGGGCACCGCCAGTCCGGCCCCAAACCGAGACCAAAACAGCGAGCGAGCGGCTCGAGGGCTCCCCCTGACCCGACTTCTCGACGGCCGGCAGGGGCCGGACTCGGACTCGGCCCGCCTCGGCGTCCGCGCGTCCCTGCGGAGGGTCACGTGTGCGTGTGTCTGGGCGCATGCGCACGAGTCGCTCCAGGTTGCCTGCGTACGCGTCGATGAGTGTTTCCCGTGGATGCGTGCCCGTGTACATGTACACACCTGTGCATTAGTGCATGGATGCCCATGTGTGCCACCTGTGTGCTGTGTGTGCCTGCGTCGTGTATGGCTCTGTGCACGCCTGTGCACTATGTGCTTGTGTGTGCCTGATGTGCGCATGCCTGTGTGCCGTGTGCACGCCTGTGTGCTGTGCACTGTGTACACGCCTATGTGCCTGTGTGTACACCCGTGTGCTGTGCGTCTGTGAGCATGCCTGTGTGCACACCTGTGAGCTGTGTGTCTATGCACACCTCTGTGCTGTGTCTCTTGTGTGCAGGCCTGTGTGCTGTGCATCTGTGTGCATGTCTGTGAAAGCCTGTGTGCTGTGTGTCTGTGTGTGTGTCTGTACGCCTGTGTGCTGAGTACCTGTGTTTGTGCCTGTATGCTATGCATCTGTGTGCACACCTGTGTACACACCTGTGAGCTGTGCGTCTGTGCACATCTGTGTACTGTTTATCTGTGCAGGCCTGTGTGCTGTGCATCTGTGTGCATGTCTATGTGAACGCCTATGCGTCTGTGAGCAAGCCTGTGTGCACACCTGTGTGCTGTGCATCTGTGTGCACACCTGTTTACACACCTGTGAGCTGTGTGTCTATGCACACCTATGTGCTGTGTCTCTGTGTGCAGGCCTGTGTGCTGTGCATCTGGGTGCATGTCTGTGTGAACACCTGTGTGCTGTCTGTGTGCGCGTCTGTGTGTACGCCTGTGTGCTGTGTCTGTGTGTGTGCACCTGTGTGCTGTGCATCTGTGTGCACCCCTGTGTACACACCTGTGAGCTGTGCGTCTGTGCACACCTGTGTACTGTTTCTCTGTGCAGGCCTGGGTGCTGTGCATCTGTGTGCATGTCTATGTGAATGCCTGTGTGTCTGTGTGCGTGTCTATGTTTACGCCTGTGTGCTCTGTGTCTTGTGTGTGCCTGTGTGCTGTGTGCATGTCTGTACGCCTGTGTGCCAAGTGCTTGTGTGCCGTGTATCTGTGTGCATGTCTATGTGACCGCCTGTGTGCTGTCTGTGTGTGTCTATGTGTACGCCTGTGTGCTCTGTGTCTTGTGTGTGCCTGTGTGCTGTGTGCATGTCTGTACGCCTGTGTGCCAAGTGCTTGTGTGCCGTGTATCTGTGTGCATGTCTATGTGAACGCCTGTGTGCTGTCTGTGTGTGTCTATGTGTACGCCTGTGTGCTCTGTGTCTTGTGTGTGCCTGTGTGCTGTGTGCATGTCTGTACGCCTGTGTGCCAAGTGCTTGTGTGCCGTGTATCTGTGTGCATGTCTATGTGAACGCCTGTGTGCTGTCTGTGTGCGTGTCTGTGTACGCCTGTGTGCTGTGTGTCTGTGTGTGTGCCTGTGTGCTGTGTGTCTACTTGCGTGTCTATGTGTATGCCTGTGTGCTCTGTGTCTGCCTGTGTGCTGTGTGCATGTCTGTACGCCTGTGTGCTGAGTGCCTGTATGTGTGCCTGTGTGCTGTGTGTCTGTGTGCTGAGTGTCTGTGAGCACGCCGGTGTGCTGTGTGTCTGTGTGCGGTACGCATAGGCCCAGTGGCCTGTCTGCCCCAGCACACAGCTGTCCCGGTTGCCCCATCGTTCTCTTTCCAGGGGCTTGTTGGTCTGTCCCCAGCCGGTCCATCCCCGCCCGCTTCCAAGCTGTCCGTCTCCTGGTTTCTGTGGGAACAAGGCCCCACCCTGAGCTAGAGAAACTCCCTCTTGGCCCCCCAACTCCAGATAAGCTTCGAGGTCCCTTTTCTTGAATCAAAGTAGCTGGATTTTATTGGTGTCCAGGGAAAGGGTCAGAGACCGTGGCATTAGGGTTTTCCCACAAAGAGGACTCACTGGCTCTCGAGAGCCCAGAAGCCGCCACCACAGTGCAGCCGTCCCCGACTCCCGGAGCACTGTGGACCGACCAGGCCGACCTGTGAGTTGGCCTCAGACTCCACGGGACAAATGTGATAAGTCCAGACCCTTACCAGTTTGGGTTCCTGCCCAAGGAGCCAGGACTCCTGTGTCTTGCTGCAGCCTGCCTCAGTTTCCCCACAGAAGCTGTCCCCAGTGCTGACGGTGTGAGGTGTACAGACCTGTCAACCCACAGGTCCTTGGAGTCCGCCAACTCACCCCGGGGGTGGCAACCCTGTTGGCGCTCATCCTCTCCACCAGGGGGCGCTGTGTCGCCAGGCCTGCCCCGCATCCAGCCCTCACATCTTAACACGTTTGCCAAAAGCCACAGAATTGCAGCTCCGTTTAAGGTGATTTTGCTTTTCTGCAATTGAGACGTGATGAGTCAGCAATGGCTCGGCCCCTGCCCAGCGTGCAGGAGGCACCCAGGAGCCCCCCATCACACAGCTCCCGGGGGCCATGGAGCTGCAGCCACAGCACCGGGAGTGCTTCTGTGCTCAGTCTCCTCCCTCCAGCCAGGCCTCACCCGGGGAGAGGCAGAGGCAGGGGTGGGGATCCAGCGGTCCTCAGAGCAGGGGGGTGCTAGAGCCACACGCCCGCCCGGAGGATGCGGGGAGCTGGGGCTGGAGCTGCAGCCCGGAAGGAGTCTTGGCACACAGCCCCTGCGGGCCTCGGAGACAGGCTGCTGGCAGAGCGGGGGCAGAGCCCGGCGAGGGGCCCTTGTCTAGGGCTGCTGGCCCGGGGGACGCTCTTGCTCGCGGTGACTGTGTTCTGTTCTCCTTGTAGATGGAGGAGATAAGATTTAAGGACAGAGCAGTCTTTGTGCTGGAGAGAGAGTTAGGGGTACAAGCCGGGCACGCTCAGAGACTGCAGCTCCAAAAGGAGGCTTTGGATGAGCAGCTGTCCCAGGTCAAGGAGGCTGATCGGCACCTGGGCAGCCCCAGACGGGAACTTCCTCATGCAATCAGTGCAGGAGCCGCTGCCGAGCACCCGGGAAGCCCCGTAAGCACCCCGGCTGCGCCCCCACGCAGCCCCGCGCTCGGCTGCGCCCCCCACCCACAGCACTTCGGCTGTCCCCCCCACACAGCACCACAGCGTCTGAAGGCCAGGGCCCTCCTGCCCAGGCTGCCCGTGTCTGCAGCCCTCCCGGTGGACTGTGCCCCTCGGGGGCCGCCCGGGCTGGCCTGCAGGCAGGTGAGGTGCCCCGGGCAGCGGCCTCCTGGCCCTCAGCCTGGAACCCTGAGGCTGAGGTGCTTGCGGGTCCCTGTCCATCCTGGGCTGGGGCAGTCCAGCTGCCCCCCCCCCATCCAAGGCCTGGGGGCCCACGTGGCCACTGCCGACTTGGCACAGTTCCTGCCACCAGGCGCCTCCATCCTCTGCCCTCCACGGGCTGCCGGGATGGCTCGGGCTCGGCCGTTGGCCCCGCATGTAGAGTCGTCCTGGTGCTCGGGGGAACTGGGCTGTCTAAATTCGGGGGAGCCCCTGCAGATCTTCCTGGGTCTGCAGCCTCTCCTGCACCTGTTGAATGAGGAAGCGCCCCAGGCCCCCAGAGCTCAGGGCACAGCAGAGCCGGCCCTAGACAGACGTTCTGAGAGAGGAAACCCCCTTGCTGGCCCAGCAGAGCTCAGCCCAGCCAAGCGCCCGCTCTCTCCACCACTTCTGAGTGCCCGCAGGGCTGCGCAGAGCCCCTTAGAAGCCCAGTGCAAGGCAGCACGCTCGAGGGGGACCCAGGGCCTGGCACCCTCAGGACACACAAGCCGCAGTAGCACACGGTGCTGGTGCCCGCCCCTCCCCACCGCTCTCCCTCGCTCTGTCCCTCTTCCCGCCCGTGTGCCGGGCAGCCGCCGTGGGCTCCAGGCCGAGTCGGACCAGGGAGGGGCGTGCGCTGCCCTCGGGCCCGGGCCTTCCGGCGCGGCTGTGCTGTCCGCCCTGCGGTGTTGCAGTTGATGTTTGTTGTAGGAACAGCAGCTGGACGAGAAGGATGCTCGTCGCTTTCAACTCAAAATTGCTGAGCTCAGCGCCATCATCCGCAAGCTCGAGGACCGCAACGCTCTGCTGTCCGAGGAGAGGAACGAGCTGGTGAGTGGCCCTGGGCAGCCGGCATGGAGGGACTGTGACCAGAGCCCGGCCCCACCCCCAGCGCCCACTGACAGAACCCCGCGGGGGGTGTGGCCCTGCTCGGCTCCCTGGTGCTGGGCTGTGTGGCCGTCCAGCTGGCGTGGCCGTCAGCCCCCAGCCTGAGAGCCAGGGAGTCCCCGGCGCCACTTCTAGGAGCTCCCTCGGCCCCCGTCCCCGTCCCCATCCCCGTTCCCATCCCCATCCCCGTCCCCATCCCCGTCCCCGTCCTGGTCCCTGAGCCTGCTCTCACCCCAGCTGAAGCGCCTGCGAGAGGCCGAGAGCCAGTACAAGCCACTGCTGGACAAGAACAAGCGCCTGAGCCGCAAGAGCGAGGAGCTGGCCCACACCCTGCGGCGCCTGCAGAGCAAACTCAAGCTCATCACGCAGGAGAACCTGGAGATGGTGAGCCTCGCCCGGGAGGGAGGGACCGCGGGCCGACGGCGGCAGGACCCGAGCCCGGGCGCTGCTCAGGGGCCTCGGGGAACGGAGCGAGGGGTGGGCAGGTGGGCGGGGCGCCCCACCTCCCAGGACCCCGTGTAGGAGGAAAAGGGACGGCCACTCCCACATCTGCACAGCGGAGGGCAGGGGCCTGGGGCGGCCCGGGGGCTGGGATGGTTGCAGCGTCCCTAGGGTAGGGGCAGGGGCCGGGCACTGCCCGCCCCCTGCGCAGGTCTGCCCCCGGGTGAGTGCGGGCCCCGTGACGCCCCGTGTGTTGCAGAGGCAGCGGGCGGGCTCCGTGCGCAGACCCAGCTCCCTCAACGACCTGGAGAGGAGCCGGGAGGAGCAGGAGGCCGACTTCCTGCGGCTGCAGCTGCTGGAGCAGCAGCACCTCATCGATGAGCTCTCCAAGGTGCTGAACCGGGTCTGGGCCTCCCGCCCCGTGCCTGACTACCACAGGGGTCCCCGGACATCCCCACGGCAGGAAGGGAGGGGGCCCAGACCCCTCCCTGGTCCCTGCCCTCTCCAGCCACTGCGGGGATTGGCTTCCGGGCCAGTGGGGGTCTGGGGCCCCCGCTGGATCAAGGGACCCCTCGGGTGAAGTCAGCGCCTTCCTCCAACTGGCTCTTTTCTAGACCCTGGAGACCACCGGCTTCGTGAAGACTGTCCTGGTGAGTGTCTGCTGCCCCCTGACTCGGGGCCCCCATCCGGACTCTCTCCCACCCTCCAAACTCTCCTCCCCCCCAAGCTGCCTCCCACCCCAAACTCTGTCTCCCCAAACTCTGTTCCCCCTACCATACTCTCTCCCCACCCCTCGCTATCTCCCCCTCCCTCCAACTCTCCCTGTGCCCCAAAACTCTCCCATCCTGCAAATCCTCCCCATCCTCCCCAACTCTCTCATGTGCCCCAAGCTCTCCCCTTACCCCTAAACATTTTTGTCCCCTGAACGCTCCCCATCCCCCACTCTTTCCCCATCCCCCATCCTCTCCCACCCCCCACCCTCTCCCCACCCTTGAACACCCAGCAGACTGTGGCTGGCCGGGGCTGGGTGGTGGTGATGCCACTGTCTCTTAGGGGAGGTTCCAGCAATTCGGTAGATTTCTCACTCATCTTGGTGCTGTCCATGGGCACCGCATCCAGCTGGTGGTGCCCACGGAGCCTGACCCCTGACCCCTCTGACCCCCCTTGGGGCAACACCAGTCCCCTCCTCAGGCCCGTGGCTCACTCCCATGGGGTCTCTGCATGACCACACTGGAGAGAAGTGGGGCTCGGGGGAAGCTCGTCCCCAAGTGGTCCTAGCCCAGGGGCACCCTCGAGCCCGGCCTCCAGAAGAAAGTGGGGGTCTTCAGCAGGGGCGGTTCAAGTCCATAGCCTTTGAGCTTGTCTACGTAAGGAATGTCAGGGACTCATTCCCAACCCAGCACCTCAGCCCCACCCGGCCACCCACACCAGGCCCCCAAACTCCCCGTCTGCTTGTTGCAGGAGCGTGAAAAGCTGTTGAGGTTCCGGAAACAGAGAAAGAAAATGGCCAAGCTCCCCAAGGTGGGTGCGGGTAGCTGGGCCCCCGGGACTGCAGGTGGGTCCCGAGTCAGTGCTGGTCGCTCAGGCTCTGGGAAGAGCCTCGGCCCACCTGGCTGCACTGTATGCCCCGGATCCCGTGTGCCCCGGACCCCATGTGCCCCGGATCCCCTGTGCCCTGGACCCCTGTGCCCAGACCCCCTGTGCACCAACCCCGTGTGCCCCAGACCCCATGTGCCCATACCTCGTGTGCTCGGACCACTTGGTGTGAGATTACTGGGGATGTGGTTTCTGTGCCTCACAGTCTGGAGGATGTGGCCACGCCAATGTGAGTCCCCCCAGGCCCTGCAGGACTGGTGTCTCTGGCCCAGCACTGTCCAGGCACAGCTGTGAGGGAGAGGGTGCATCCGGTCATAGATGTCAGGGACGGAGCCTTCGAGCTCCATCGAGGACTCAGGACAGTCCACTCAGCCCAGCACCCTGGGCTCCTCTGCGTGTCTGATCCATGGTGGTGCCCTCAGCGGGGGCTGTGGGTGCAGAGTGGGGGGCAGGAGGGCAGAAGAGGGGTCAGGGGAGCAGGGGCATCCCTGCTTCCTCAGAGCTGGGAAGGGCCTGTGGGGTGACCCTCGGTGATTCTAGAGCTCCATGTCCAGGCCAGGGACATTCTCCACAAGCTCTTCAGTAGGGAGGTGGCAGGGGCATTGGAGTGGCTGGACAGAATGAGTAGTGGGCAGTGATGGACAGTGACGGGCAGTAATGGACAATTACGACCATCTGATGGACAGTAATAGGCAATGGTGGATAGTGACGGACAGTGGTGGTCTGTGGTGGGCAGTGATGGGCAAAGGTGGGCAGTGAGGGACAATGATGGCAGTGGTGGATAGTGATGGCATTTGTGGGCAGTAATGGGCAGTGATAGTGACGGGCAGTGGTGGGCAGTGATGAACTGTGGTGGGTAGTGGTGGATTGTAATGGGCGATGGTACCAGATCCCCAGAACCGATGGTGCCCATGGGAGCCCAGAGCCAGGTGCTGGGGGTGGGGGCGTCAGGATGAGGAGGGGGGTGGGGCAGAGGGGGCCCTGGCAGGGGCTGCCCATGGAGAACTTGTGTGTCCGGGACTGAAGGCCTCGGTGCCGTGGTCACGGGGGTGCTCTGGGATGTTCCCCAGGCTGCAGCTGGTGTCTGCTGCCTCTCTCGGGGGTGGGGGGAGCGCTCCTCGGTGGTGCAGCCCACCCTCCCCCTGTGCTCTTGCAGAGGCAGGATGAGGGCCCGGGGAAGCCTACGGGCTGAGGGAGAGTGGAGTCGAGGCCTGGGGCCTGTGCCAAGGACCCCGGCCTGGGCAGATCATGTGACAGGACTCTGGTCGCAGCCCGTGGTGGTGGAGACCTTCTTCGGATACGACGAAGAGGGGTCCCTGGACTCGGACGGCTCTTCCGTGTCCTACCAAACGGACAGGACGGACCAGACCCCGTGCACCCCCGACGATGACCTGGAGGAGGTGACTTCCTGCCGGGGCGGGGCGGGGTCTTTCTCCACAGCCAGGAGGGATCCTCCGTGGCCTCGCTCAGCTCTGGCCGGGGGTCGTGGGGAGGGTGATCTGGGCCCTGACTGGGCTGGATCAGTGGACTGGAGGGCTTCCTGGAAGCAGGTGGGGAGGAGGAGCAGCCCGCCACCGGGCCCACTGCCCTGCCCTTGCCTGCGGCACTGGGGTCTGGGCCTGGGGAGGACTGGAGGCCCAGGCGGGCCTGGCCTGGGCTGCCCCATCCACGGCATGATGGGGGCAGGCGCCATTCCCTTGTGGTGTGTGCTGTGTGGCGTGTGCCCTTATGTGGTATATGTCATGTGGCATGTGGCATGTGCTGTGTGGCGTGTGCAGGAGCACTGACACGTGGGCTCTGCAGGGCATGGCCAGGGAGGAGACGGAGCTGCGGTTCCGGCAGCTGACCATGGAGTACCAGGCGCTTCAGCGTGCCTACGCCCTACTGCAGGAGCAGGTCGGAGGGTCGCTGGACGCAGAGCGAGAAGTTAAGGTCCACGGAGCTTCTACTCTGCCGCCTTCTGTCCTCCTGCCCCCGGGCCGGCCCTGGTTCCAGCCCCCGTCCTTGGGGGGCCTTGCTGGGGTGGGGGGGCAGCAGCCCTGGGGAGCTTCGGCCACTCCTGTCCCCTCTTCAGAGGGACCTGCCCACCTCTGGGCCATGTCTCCCGGGAGCTGGGGTCGCGGTGTCTGGCCCAGAGGGGTCCCGGGCAGGCAGGCAGCGGGAAAGATCAGTGAGGAGCACAGACCCAGCCCTCCTCAGAGGCTCCCACGCGGTTCAGGCCTGGCGCCCCCCCCCTTTTGAAGGACAAAACCGCTCAGCACCCCCAGAGTCTGGAAAGCACCCTCGCTGCACCCCTCAGTCTAGTCCTGTGAGCTGCTGACTCTGGAAGGATTATTCTAGATGCAGGCCGGCAGCAGTGCTGAGAAGGGGCGTGGGGCCAGGGCTCCCCGCCGGACACAGCCGGCCTGCAACTGGGGGTGGGGCCTGGAGGGCCAGCGCTCGGACCCCTGCCCGGGCCGCCCTGTCCTCATGCCGCTGCTGGTGGAGGAACGGGCCGTGCTGTCGTCCACAGACCCGAGAGCAGCTGCAGGACGAGGTGCAGAGGGCGCAGACGCGGATCGAGGACCTGGAGCGGACGCTGGCTGAGCGCGGGCAGGTACGCCCGCGGGGGGCCGGGGGGCACCCACATCCCGGGAGGTTTTGGAGCAGAAAGCTTCTGCGGGGTCAGGAGACTGTCTGGGCCTGAGAGTGTGGCCCCCAGGAGCCTCCGACGACAGGCTCACGTGAGCTCAGCGGCTCCTGGGTGACCCCTGGGAGCAGGCAGGACCTGGGTGTGGCCCTCAGCCCTTCTGAGCCGAGCAGGGGCCAGCTCCTGACAGCACCCGCTGCGGAGCTGCTCTGCGCCCACACGCCTGCCCCTTCCTTCCTCAGGACATGAAGTGGATCGAGGAGAAACAAGCTCTGTACCGCAGGAACCAGGAGCTGGTGGAGAAGGTGGGTCCTGCCCAGCACCTGGTTCTGGCTGGAGCCGCCTTCTCTGCCCCCCGCCCCAGGGCTGTGGTCACTCTTACTGCCCTGGACTCTGCCCTGCCTCGCCCGGTAGAAGCCCCTCTCTGGCCAGGGGCACACTCCAGCGCCCTGCAGGACAGCGGCTCAGCGGGCCCCAGGGGATGCGGGTTTTCGCTCTGACAAGCCCTGATCCGTGGGCTTGACCTGCACTGCCAACGTCGCCCGAGGGCCGGGAACTCTGGCTGTGGGCACAGGAGGCTCTCTGGAAACGCCGGTCGCACAGGAGATGGTCAGAAGGGCCACCCTGCCAAGCCGTCCCACTGCCTGTCTGCGGCCCCGTCCCTGAGCTCAGCCCCTGCTTCATACAGGCGCCGCGAGTGACCGGGCTGAGGGCTGGGCCCGGAACCAGGGGGGCCCAGGTGCTGCTGGGAATCCGCAGGCAGGAAGCCCGTGGGGCACAGCTTCCCGGGGGCCCGTGATGGCCGCTCCTGCCCACCCCGCCCCAGTGTCTCAGCCGTCAGACTCACGTGGGTGAGGGCTCTGGCCGCGTGGTCAGCCCAGTGTCCCTCTGTGCAGGTCAGGCAGATGCAGGTGGAGGAGGCGCGGCTGCAGCACGAGGTCCAGGACGCAAAGGATCAGAACGAGCTGCTGGAGTTCCGCGTGCTGGAGCTCGAGGTGCGAGGCGGGTGCCGGGCGTGCAGGGTGGGGGGGGGGGGGTGCCGCGGCCGGACAGAGCAGTGGCCTGAGCTGCCAGCGGGCTTCATGGAGCTGCCTGTAGAGGCGGGTGGGCTGCAGGCGGCGGTCACCAGCCTCGACTCTGTCTCAGGAAAGGGAGAGGAAGTCCCCCGCCATCACCTTCCACCACACGCCCTTCGCGGAAGGGAAGAGCCCCCTGCAGTCCTACTGTGAGGCCGAAGGCGTGACGGTGAGCCTGGCCCTGCCCCACCCCGCCCGCCCCTGCTCCCTGCAAAGCCTCCCTGGTGGACACTCAGGCATCCCTCACCTCCTTCCCCCAGGACATTGTGGTCAGCGAGCTGATGAAGAAGCTGGACATTTTGGGGGACAACGCCGTAAGTGTAGGTCGCTCTCCTGATTTGTATGCCCCCGCCCCCTGCCCCGGCCCCCGGGCCCCTGGGACCCCGTTGCTGCAGTCACACACACACACACACACACACACGCACACACCTTGACTCAGCTGCCAGGAAGGGCCCTGGCACATAGGGGGAAATTCTGCTCTTCTGTTCTGGTGCCCACCCAGGGCCCCAGCCCCGGAATGATGAGCTGAGGGCCCAGCTCTGTGGGGGAGCACAGAGATCAGGCAGCTCTGGGGAGTACGGGGATCAGGCAGCTGTGGGAGAGCACAGGGCTCTGGTCCCAGAGTATGGGTGGGCTGAGCTGCTCCATTTGGATCATGGGCTACAGGCTGCAAGAGCTGTTGCTGGGACCTACTCACCCTTTGAGCTCTTTGATTCTCGAGCGCCTGAAGCACCTGAGACCTTCCGGGAGGTCCTGGCTCTGGTTTCAGGGAGGTGGAGCCCATCAAACAGCCCCTGGATTCTGTTGAGGGCTAACTTCGATCCTGTCTCAGCTCCTTGAATACTGCCCACCACGGGCAACGGAAAGCCCTCACGCGTCACCCCCTGCCCACTCTCTGCTTCCTCCCCCTCCCTGCCCTGCTCCCCCCATCCCGTCCTGTCCGTCCCCCTCCCCGTCCATCCCCTTCCTCCCCTTCCTCCTCCATCTCCCTCCTCGTCCGTCCCCCTTCTCGTCCATCATCCTTGCTCACCCGCATCCTCTCTCCACCCGGGTCTGAGGAGTCCGGCCCCTCTGAGGATGCCGACCAAGCCCCAGACAAGACCTCCCTGCCCAGATCGACCCTGGGTGGACTAGGCCTGAATGAGGCACATGTCGCGGCAAAGCCATCCGCAGTACGCCCACGCAGCAGAATTGTGCCACCATGCCATGCACGAGTGACATTCGGCAAGGAGCCTGCTTCCAGCCACACTGTGGTCAGGGGCAGCGAGGGAGCTTTGATCGCTGGCTAGTGTGGCCCACTGTGGCTTCCCGAGTAGGGACAGTGAGGTCAGAGGGAGCAGCACTAGTTTGTAACTGTTGCTCCTCTTGCCGCGTGCCAATCAACCCCAACAAAGATGCCGAATCTCCCACCACACCCACCTACACCTGCCCACACCTGCCATAAACCTGTCCACATACACCTGCCCACTCCCACGCACACCTGCCCACTCCCACACACACCAGCCCACACCCACATACACTTGCCCGCACTTACCAAGCACATGGCCCACACCCGCCAAGCACTAATCGTACTCCTCACCGAACACTGGCAGATGCCCAGCAAAGACTGTCCAGACGTCTTACCATATACCCACAGGCCACCCACAATATATCCACAACATGGTCCAACAAACACTGACCTCGCAATTTATTATGTGCCCACTGTGAACCCACCACGTACCCCCAACACTGACCCCGTCCTCAGCGTGCGCCCCACCAGGCACCTCCTTCACCCGCCGTGTGCCCTCCTGCCTCCGCACTGCACCCCACCACGCCCCGCCCGGCCTCCACCCGACTCGGCCTCTGCTCCGCTTACAGAGCCTGAACAATGACGAGCAGGTGGTCATCATCCAAGCCAGGACAGTGCTGACCTTGGCTGAGAAGGTAGAGGGCTGTGGGGGCCTTGAAGAGGGGCACAGGCCTGCCTCCAGCGGGAGTGGGGTCCTGGCTGGGCCTGGGGGACGGGCCCTCCCTAAGGCTGTGCCACCTGCTTTTGTGTCCTGCCCAGTGGCTGCAGCAGATCGAGGAGGCAGAGGCTGCCCTGCAGCAGAGGATGGGCGACCTGGAGACGGAGAAGGTGGGCGGCGGGCAGCGGGTGGCAGCGGCCAGGGGCAGGGGCAGTCTGCCCGAGGCCCACACAGTCCCCGTGTCCCAGGAGCTGTTCAGTAAACAGAAGGGCTACCTGGACGAGGAACTGGACTTCCGGAAGCAGTCCCTGGACCAGGCTCACAAGGTGAGCGCAGCCGTGCAGCCCAGGAATCTGCCTCTGTCCCCGCGGCCACCGGCTCAGCAGGGCACTCGTGGTCCCAAGTGGCCAGGGAAGCGGGCAGTGGCCCTGAAGCACATCTCGAGCGCCGGGTGGGGCTGCGGGCTGCTCCGTGCCCAGCTCGCCTGTTGGATAGCGGTGCCCCCCCACTGGGGGGGGGGAACGGCCAGGAGCGGGAGGGGGTCCTCCGGCCTCTCAGACCCATGAGTCATGTGACAGGGTGGCTGGACAGTAACCGTGATCCGGGCCATGCACCGGGCACCCCCTGGGGTGGGGCAGGCGGGGGCAGGACACAGGCCCCCACAACCACCCTGGGGCATAGTCCCTCCGGAAGCCCTGCCCCCGTCGGCACAGAATGACCTGCTCCAGCCACCCAGTACAGCAATGGGTGGTCAGCCCTAGGGAACCAGACCTGCCCGCTGCCGTGCCCACAGCACCCACTGTGCCCTCTGACCGTGGCCCTGACCTCGGGGCTCCTCCTGGGTCTTTCATGAGGAGTGAGAGGTTGAGGCGGACATAGCCAGTGAGAGGACGCGGGGGGGGGGGGGGCTGAGGGGCCATCCTGGGCATCAGGGTGGCAGATGCCCGCTCCCAGTGCTCCCCTGAGAGTGCTCACTCCCCATGCTCCCTGAGGGTGCCCGCTCCCAGCCAGGCTGAGTCGGTATCGTTTCAGCCGCTTCCTGCTGCAGGCCGAGCATGGCTGCTGCTCTGTCCACTCTGTCCGGGGCTCACAGGGGCCCAGGGTGCGGTATGTCCTCAGATACAGGGCGTCCGGCCAGGAGGCCTGTACATTGGTGACCACATGGACGGTGTCTGAGTCCAGGGCTCCCTGCCATGCCCCAGCAGGGGCCACAGAGCAGCGGGGCTGGGCAGGCTGCCACTCTGTGCAGGCAGGCCCTGCCATCAGGGCAGCGGGCAGGCGGGGTCAGTGCGTGTCCCGGCGCGGGGAGGGTGTTGGGAATGGAATAGGGCGGTGAGGACCGAGTGTGGTGTCGGGCCTGCTGGTGGTGACAACAACAATGCCAGTGAGAGGCGGTGAGGGGTGGTGGGGGCGCGGTGAGGACAGTGGTGGGGAGGGTGGCCCTAGTGACTGACGGCGGTGACGAGGCTAGTGAAGGGTTGGTGGTGGCGTTGGTGGCTGTGATAGCCGAGGGGAGGCCGAGGGGTCACAGTGGGACACATCCCTTGCAAGACCACTTCCTGTGAAGTCACTCAGGACAGCCCGTGGCAGGACCTTGTGCCCTGCTTCGGCCTCTCGCTACGTGGCCTGCAGCCCTGTCCAGCACAGTGCTGGCACCTGCCGCCCCGAGGGGCGTGGAGTGGGAGCAGTCTAGGGGACAGGCCCCGACCCAATAGCCCTCCCGAGCCAGGCACGGCCTCCTGAGGTCACTGCTGGCCACAGGAGGGGTTTGGAGAGGCAGGTCTGCAGGGCGGGAGGTGGGTGGGAGACGCAGGGCCTGGCGGGCAGGTGTGTGTGGCTGCCGCTGGCTCTCCTACGAGCCCTGCTGCCTGCAGGGGCCTCGGTGAGGGCAGGCTCATGGGGTGGACGTGGTGCACCTGCCCCCGGGCTGGGATCTGTGCGGGCCTGGCAGGAAGACGGGGCTCGTGGGCAGAGCCAGGGCTGGGCAGTGGCATGGGAGGGGGAAAGGGTCTGTCACGGCGGGCAGGGCAGCCAGGGAGGAGTGTGTCGGGACAGCTGTGTGGGGTCTTCCCGAGGGACCCTCTGGGTGGGGGCTGAGGGCACGGGAGTCCCGGACGGACTGGACTCCGTTCCCTGGTGCCGCCTGTGCCCACTGCTGGTGAGAGGCCCTGCTGTGTGGGCAGCGAGTGGCCTTGCAGAGCCCTGCTCGGGGTGGGGGGGTGCCAGGCCCGGGCACAGCTACAAGAGTGCAGCTGCTCAAGGCCCGCACTGCCCCTGAGACTCAAGGCTGCGGTGGAGGCCTGGCCCGACCCCAGCCCACCCCACTGGCCTCTCTCTGAGCGGTCTCTAAGCCCCTCCTGCCCTGCCCTGCTTCCTGCACTGGGGCCTCCTTCCCAGCAAGCTTGCTGCTGGGGGGGCCGACCCCGCCCACGGCACTGGGGGGGCAGGACAGAGGGTCCTGCCAGGAGACGGAGGGCCAAGGACTGAGCCCCGGAGGGCGACGGCCTGGCCTCGGGGGCAGCTGGTCGTGTCTCCGGGGCTCTGCGGTGGGCAGTGGCGGGGGGAGGCCTGACGGTCCCTTCCCCGCAGCACATCCTGGAGCTGGAGGCCATGCTGTACGACGCCCTGCAGCAGGAGGCCGGGGCCAAAGTGGCCGGGCTGCTGACGGACAGCGAGCGGGAGGAGCTCCGGGTGGCCGTGGAGCAGTGGAAGCGCCAGGTCATGAGTGAGCTGCGAGAGCGGGACGCGCAGATCCTGCGGGAGCGCATGGAGACGCTGCAGGGGGCGCAGCAGGTGGGGGCCGAGACCCCGCAGGGGGCACGGGGGGGCAGAGACCCCGCGGGGGGGCACAGGTACGGGGGCACTGCCAGGGACACAGGTGTGTGGTGAAGACGGGGGTGGGAGGCCGGCAGGGGCTCGGGGGCTGAGGGAGCCCGCGGCGCTTCTGCGGGGACTGTCCCCCTCATGCTCCTGCCACTGGCCACGGCTGGAGCCCAGGGGAGGCCGAGCGCGACTCCCTGGAAGGCCGTGGCGGGCCCGGGAGCCTGGGCGTCTGGGCCTGTGCGCCCCCACGCCCCGGTGACGGACGGCCCTTCACCCGCAGAGGGTCAAGGAGCTCGAGGAGCGGCTGGAGGCCCAGAAGAGGCAGCTGAAGGAGCTGGAGGAGAAGGTAGTGCGAGAGCGGGCTCGGGGGCCTCCGGGAGGGCTCGGAGGCCGGGGGGGGAGCAGCGTCGGCAGAAAAGACGGGCCCCGGTGTGGGCACAGCCAGCGGGGGCAGCGTCCCTGTTACACATGTGCCACCTCGCAGGGACAGTCCCGCCTGCACATAGTAGGGACGGTCATGCCTGCACACGCCAGGCCGGCCCGCGTGAAGAGCCCGGACGAGGAGGGTGCCCGGCTCCCGTGCTCTAGCCCTGGCTCCTCCTGGCTCCCGCCTGATTCCTCCTGGTTTCTCCTGGTTCCCTCCTGGTTCCCGCCTGGCTCCTGCCTCGGGCCTGCCCTGATCTGGCCTTGGTTCAGCCCGGGTTCGGTCCTGGTTGTGCCCCTCTCCTGCTCCAGCCCTCAGGGCATCGCTTCCTGGTTTCGGCAGATGTGGCTGGTAGGTGCGGTCACCTGTGGCTCTTTTCCCGGGCCTGTGCAGGTGCTGGTGGCAGGTGCACTGTCCCTTCCCCAGTCCGGGGACTCAGGGCCTGGTTCTCTCTCGGGCTTCGCTTGGCCTCAGGCGGTGTTCATGCCCGTGGACAGTGGCCCCGCCTGCACCCCACCCCGCTGCCTCTGGTCTGGCCAGAGGATCCCCGAGCTGCCTTCCCCAGCCCCTGCCCGCCTGCCCTTGCCCGTCTCTCTGGACACTGAACTGTCACCGTCTGTCCACGACACTGACTCACCCAGGGGCCACATGTGATCACCCCGAGACCCAACAGTGCCCAGCACCAATCTGGGGCCAGAGATAGGGCACCTGTAGAGGAGAGGCTGGTTCCGGGTGCCCAGCAGCACTGACCCAGGCCGTGCCAGCTCAGCTGTGTCCAGGCGCTTGTCCCCAGCCCCTCAAGGGACCGGCTGAGGTACTGTCCCTATGAGGGTCCATGACTGTGCCACAGCCACGTGGCAGGTCCCACAGAGGAGCCAGCCCCCGGAGACTCCCCTACCCTGTGGAGCCCGTATGGCCCTCGAGTGGCCGCAAGGTCCCCAGAGCAGGGATGCCCGGCTGGTGGCACACGGCCCCTGCTTGGGACCTGGGCCCACCTTAGCCTGCGCCCTCTCAGGCAGCCTTCTGAGCTCACCCAACATGCTCTTCTCTCTCCCTCCCTCTCTCCCTCTGCCCTTCCCCCTCCCTCTGTCCTCCCTCTCCTCCCTCCTTCTCTCTCCCTCTTTCGCTCTCTCTCTTTCTCTCTTTCTCTTTCTTTCTCCATCTCTCTCCCTCTCCCTCCCTCCCTCTCTCTCTCTCCCTCTCTCCCGACTCCACCCCGCCCCTTTAGTTTCTGTTTCTGTTCTTGTTTTTCTCCTTAGCTTTCATTCTCTGGTCTTAAGGATCCTGGACACTCTGTGTGGTGAGTAACTTTCAGTCCTGGCAAGCGCCCGAGTGACCGGGGCTTGGGGGCAACACTCGGCTCAGGCGGCTCCCGCCCACCCCCGGCTGTCTCACCCTGAAGGGGCTCCTGTGAGGTCCTTGTGCCCTCCTCGCCCCTCCCCGGAGGCCGAGCACACGCCCCACCCAGCAGCCCCTCACCTGGCCTGTGTGTCTGCTTCCAGCCCCCCGGAGCCTGACCCCTTCCCTCCGGCGGCCGGATGAGCCTCCCCTCTCCCCCGAAGAACCAGGAAGACGTGGCGTCTGCAGACACCCCACCCGCCGTCACGAAGAGAGGAGGGGTCTCTGGTGGGGCCCCCCGTTGGGGTGAGCCTGTTTGGGCTCTGCTGTCCGGGCTCCCCCAGAGAGGGCGCGCAGCCGCTGGCCCTGGGCCCTGGGGTGCAGCCCCCAGCCTGGCGCAGGTTCCCCGTGGACAGGAACAGCGCCTGCCCGCACCTCCCACTCCCCAAGGCCCAGGAAGCTTCCAGAAACATCGCAGGCGACCCACAGTGACAGAGGGGGTGCTGGCCATCCTCGGGGTGCCCTGCCCCTGCACAGTCCCCTCTCTGCCGGCCTGCACACACAAGGGCCCACGGTGACCTCAGTGCGGATGGACAGCTGGGACCCGGGGCCACTCCCACACTCGGTCCCGACACGGGCCCAGTCCAGAGCGTGGCCGGCACCTGGCAGCGTCCGCGGTCTTGATGCTCTGCAGCTATGAGGAGGGAGCCGAGCCAGGTGCCAAGGTGAGGCTCGCCCCGGGATCCTGGGGACGTGGGGGACACGGTGCTGTCCCGTCCGGCCGGGCCCCTCCTGGTCTGCCCGAGCACGGCTCAGCCTGGGGCACCTGCCTCCTCCCTGCCCTGTGTCAGTCCGGGGGTCTAGTCCACGGGTGCCCAAGGCTGGGCTCCCCACACCCTGGGCACCCAGCAGCAGTGTGTGAGACCCTGGTAAACTCAGGGCTCCCAGAACCCAGTGTTCACCCAGGGGTCCTGCTGGCCTGCACCCTGCCCTACGCCGCTGCTCCCAGAGACCCAGGGCACACCTGCCACGCCCTGGCCCTGGCCCTGGACTGACTGGTGGCCACTCGGCTCAGCTGGGGCCTGGCTGAGCATCGCTCACCCCTGCCCCTCCTGTGCGGCCTCACCCCTGCCCTCTTCCATGCAGCCTCACCCCGTGCTCTGACAGATCAGAACCTGTCCCCATCAGGGGCACATCTCTGCTGTGCTCGGCACCCTGAGGGTCTGCCCCTGTGTCCTGCGTTGTCCCTCCCCTGTATCCCCAAACTCTCATCCCTGCCTGTAGACCCTTCACCCCGCCATACCTATGTCCGTGCCTTGTGCCTTGCACTGACCCCCCGCAACACTCCGAGGCGGCTGCTGGCAGGGTCCCTCGCAGCACCGTCCTCACAGGCGACTGTGTCCCCAGACTGTCCCCTGGGCTTTGAGTTGTTGCACACCTATGCCAGGCTCTCGCCCTGTCCTGGGCAGACGGCCCACTCAGCAGTGGAGCAGCAGTGCACCCTCCGCAGCCTGGCCCCATGGGTGTCTCAGGGCCAGCACTGCCCGGGCCCTCCCTGGAGGAGACAGGTGGGCAGCTGGGAGGGAGGGCGGGAGCCCTGTGTGCGTGGTGGAGCTCTGAGATGCTGTCCACTTCCCATCCTGTGCCGAGCAGCTCCCGAGGTGTCAGGCTGCCTGCCGGAAGCTGAGGCAGGAGGGAGCAGGGACACGGGGACATTTGGACACTCCCCAGGAGGAGATGGGGCTGGGGGGATAGGCACTTTGGGGAAGACTGGAAGCTGAGTGTGTGTGTGTGGCCACGCGAGCATGCTGTGTACACGCGTGTGAGCGTGTGTGTGAGCACGCCGTGTGCACTCTGAGCACGTCCACACAGCAGTCTCTCTTCCGGAGAGGGTGGCGGGAAGGGAGTGTCCAGGGTGTGCAGGCTCAGGAGAGGGGCTGCGAGCACTCGGAACCAGACTTGGTTGGTCTGTCCCTTGGGGCATTCTGGTGCTGGAGACCCCTTCATCCCCCGGGCACTGCCCGAGGGGTAGGCTGGGAAGGGTGCCACCTGCAGCTGGAGGGGGGCTTCGGAACCTCCCCTCTTCGGAACCTCCGTTTCCACCTGCAAACGGAGGAACTGATGCTTTGGGACCGGTGGCGATTGTGGCCGTGGGGAGGGGTGCAGGGAAGGTGCAGAGGAGAGCAGGATGTGGCCGAGGCTGCCGTGGACACTAGAGGGCGCCGTGCTCCTCCTCAGGCTTCCAGCTTCCTCTAAAACGCCCGGCTGAGAAAGAAGTTACCGCTCAGTCCTCGGCAGCCCCGCCTCTGTCCCGTCCTGTGCCTTTCCATGTCTGACCCCAGAGCCCCACCCTGGGTGCACTCCCTGCACCACTCACTGGCCAGGCTGACCCAGAACTACTTCCAGGTTAAAGGAACTCACAGAACTTCTAGCGTGTCCCAAACCATCACAGTTGAAGCGTCACAGGAAGGGGCAGCACCAAATCGAGGTCACGTGCTAAAGGAGGGAAGGAGTGAGAATCAGGGGTGCCTGCGGCTGTCCCCATGGAAAGGGAACTGCCAGCCAACTGTCTGTCACCTCGCAGGCCCCAGGCAGCTCTGGAAAGGGACATTTGTGTCTCGGGGCTGGGGGCTCTGGTGTGGCCTGGAGCTGGCACGGGACCCTCTGTGGCAACTGTCCATGTGCAGAGCTGCCCAGGCCCTTGGGCGCCTCCTGGTCTCCTGCTGACATCAGCTTTTCACTCTCTTTCAGCGAGAACCGAGAACCAGCGTGCAGCCTGGCCGAGCCAGTGTGAGGGTGGGCCAGTGCCCAGGGGCTGAACCGACCCGGGTGATCGTCTCAGTGCTGAGTGGTGAGGGGTGCGAGTGTGCACCCGCGTGAGCACGTGCCCAGCCAGAGGATGGCACGTGGAATCCAGCTCTTGTGGGGTACTTGGTAAAAACAAGGTGCAACGGGGATCAGCAGCTGCAGCAGACACGCGTGTGTGACTCCAGGCGGATCCAGGAATTCCAGGCTCGCAGGCGGAGGCCGCATCTGAGGGGCACCGTTGTTTCTGCCATCCTAGGGCCTCACGAGCTGTGCGGTTGCGCAGACGGCCACGTGCCCTCCGGAGGACGCTGCGGCCAGCCTGCAGGCCCAGTCTGGGGTCTGATTCTGTTCTGCTACCTGCAAGCCCACGGCCCTCCCAGAACTTCACACGAACCCCCAGCTAAAGTGCTGTGGGCTGAGTGCCGCAGTGCCCCCGTACTGGGGCACCCTATTGGCGCACGGGTCCAGGGCAGTTCTGTGTGCACGGTGGTGAGTTCTGAGCCAACGACAAGTGGTGTGAGCCCCTGTGCACAGCCTGTGTGTGCTCTAACATCCAGCGCCCAGCTCCGTGACAGACAAGGCAGACCAGGAGGTGGGACGTGCCCCCCCCCCCACTCCTGACCCCAAGGGTTTCCAGAGACAGCACCAATATTCCTGAACTCCACCTGGGGACCGCCTGAGGCGTGGGTGCGGCTCCTGAGCACTGGGGGCGATGTTGGCAGCAGAGCTTCCCTGAAGTGGCTCACGGCGCAGCAGCAGACGCCCTGCGCCCCAGAACAATGCCCCATTTTCGTTTCCCGATCACGGCTTCCTTGCGGACAGGATGTGTGTGCCTTGTCTCCCACTGGATTCCAGTTGTGGAGGGAATTGCCCTTCTTTCAAGTGCTCTGTCCTCCGGGGACCCGAAGCCTTCCAGACACCGGCGTGCCTTACTCAGGTCGTGCCCACTGGCTGGACAACAGGGCCCCGGTCACTGGCACGGAACCTGCATTCGCCACGGCTTTGTGAGCAAGACCTTCCGAGAGAGAGCCTGCGAGTACAGAGGAGTTCGCGCTCAGGCGCAGGAAAACCACGGTGGAAATAGGTGGATCAAATCTTCTATTTGTGTCCTGTGGGTTTCTGAGAGCTTTATTGTACACGTATGCAAGAGCCAGGAAGGGGCCCTGGGCTCCTGGCAGTGTGCCAGCAGAACTCCGGGCTGCTCGGGCCCTGCCCACTGGCTCACATTGTCCTTCTGTCGAGCAAAACAGTGTCCAAGGCCTCAACGGGTGGTCTAGTGAAAAATGACAAAATTTTACACATATTTTTGTATCGTGACACTCTGCTGTACACCAGAGAATTTTTACTCATTTGTAAATCATTGTACAGTTTTCATAGAAAATTGTTTTAAAGCTTAGGAAATCAAAGTCCCCCTCCTCACAAAGCATTAAAGTTTGGACCTCGTGGCTCTGCTAGCCCAGTCCACGTGTGTCATGTCTGCTCTCGGGGCCTTCTGCCGGGGCAGGGGGGTGGCCAGCCCGACCCGGCATTTCAGTGGAAGAGCTGCTGTGGTTGGCTGCCCGGCCCAGCAACTCCAGCTGCTCTTCGGCAGACAGGACCAGAGAGAGAGCCTAGCTGTCCGGAAGGGGGGTGTGTCCGGGAGGGGCCCCGGCCATCTGCTCAGCCCCAGGGCTGAATACAGACCGGGTCACGAAACTCTGGGGCAATCAGCTGGGTTTGTGTGTGGGGACCTGAGTGTCAGGGTGGCACATGCGGCTTCCGTCTGCCTGGGGATCTTCACCCTGCCCGGCCCACCCCATTCACTCAGCGCTGAGCCTCTGCAGTCTTGCCCCAGCCCCCAGCACGAGCTCTTAGGAGGTGAGCATGCAGACACCCCCGTCAGCACTAGCGTCGTGGACAGCTCCCGCAGCCCGCAGCCCAGCCCTGGAGGCGCAGGGGGAGAGGGTGGGACCGAGCCAGGCCAGAGCTCAGCCCACAAACCCTAACGCCTCACCTGCTGCCCCCATGCGCCCCAGGCGGGGGTGGGGTGGGGCACAGCGGCCTGAAGGGCCTGCGGATAGTGTGCCAGGCCCAGCCAGACGGCCGTTCAGTTTCCTGACCACCAGCAAACAGTGGACATAGGCAGAGCCCGCCCCCCTCCCCCAAGCACAGCTTTTGGGGACCCTCTCCCTAACTGGCCTGGCGGTGTGGGTCTGGGGCTTGGGGTCTCTTTATTTAGCCTGCACCCAGCCCGGTCTGGTTCCAGCCTGGGTTGACCTCCAGCTGCCCCCTGAGCCCCAGGGGCTGGCTTGGTGGAGGGTCCTACGGAAGTGTTTCCATCACGGGCTTGGAGTTCCAGCCTGACAAGGTCATCAGCAGAGGAGACCTGTGGGTGCTTGGGATTGGCCCAAGGAAGGGGCACGAACGTCAGAGGAGGCCCCAAGGGTCCCGCCGCCTGCCTGGGGAGGGGCCCGCGTGCGAGGAGCCGCTCCGCGGGCCGGGGGCGGGGCCTGCCGGACCGAGCCGGTGTACAAAGAGCAAATATGTGTCGGGGGCGGGGCCTGTCGGGGGCGGGGCCTGAGCGCGGCTCAGCTTGGGGGCGGGGCCTGGAGGGGGCGGGGCCCGCGCGCGGCTCAGCTGGGGGCGAAGCCTCTGGGGGCGGGGCCTGGCGGGGGCGGGGTCTGCGTGCGGCTTAGCCTGGGGGCGGGGCCTGGCGGGGGCGGGGGCCTGAGCGGCTCAGCTGGGGGACAGGGCCTGGCGGGGGCGGGGCCTGAGCGCTCGGCTCAGCTGGGGGCGAAGCCTCTGGGGGCGGGGCCTGGCGGGGGCGGGGTCTGCGTGCGGCTCAGCCTGGGGGCGGGGCCTGGAGGGGGCGGGGCCCGCGCGCGGCTCAGCCTGGGGCGGGGCCTGGCGGGGGCGGGGCCTGCGCGCGGCTCGGCGGGGGGCGGGGCGCACTCGGGCCTCCCACCCCACTCGGACGCGGCGCCCCCGAGTGCTGCGCGAGGCGTGCGCGTGCCCGCCCGGGACCCCCGGCCGCTGCTCGGGAGCGAGCCCCGCGGCGCTGCGTGGGAGCCCACCATGTCCTTCCCCGGCAAGAAGAGCGCGTCCCGGAGCGCGGTGAGCCCCCGCGAGCCCCGCGGCCGCGGCCTTTGTCGGCCGGGCGCCCGCCCCCCGCCCCGCCCCGCCCCCGGGCTCCCCTCGGGACCCCCGCCCCGCGCCGCGCGGACGGCCTGGGCCCTTTGTCCTCGACAGACAAAGCCCCGAGCCCGCGGCCCGGGACGCGGTGCCGAGACCGCCCGGCCCGGCCCGCTGGTTCCGGAGGGCCGGGGAGGGGGCGGGGAGAGCCCCTCCCGTCATGAGGGGTCTGCATCCCCCCCCCCCCCCCGTTCCCTGGGAACAAAGCGGGCCTGGGGGCGGGCGGGGGTCAGGTGGGGGCCCACAGCTCCGGGCGGGGGTGGGGGGTGGGGGGTCCCGCCCCCAGGGACGGAGGGACAAGGCCAGGGCTATCGCCGGCACCTGCCCGCCCGCGCCTCTGCCGGGCTGCACCGGGGTCTCCGAGGGCCAGGACGAGGGGACCTGGCCACCCCGGCAGATGTCCCCGGGCCAGGGCCATGGCCCCGCCCTGTCCTTCCCGAAGCCCCGCTTCTCGCTGCAGAGCGGGGTGGGAGGGGACCGCCCGGGGCGGCGCTGCGGGCAGGTAGCCGAGAGCCCTGAGCTGGGTCAGCCTCACCTGAAGCTGGGCCCCCCGTGGGAGCTGGACAGCGGCTCCGTGTCCGGCTGACTGGGAGTGGGACAGGGGTCGAGGGTCGCTTTACTCACTGGAGCCAAGTTGGCCGCAGGAGGCTGCAGAGGACCAAGGCAGAGGCCGCTAGCACCACCCGCGGGGCTGCCCCCCACGAGTGGACAGAGTGCTGCTGTCTGCTCTGCCACCGGCCTCCTCGCCGGCTCCCCCAGGCAGCCTCCTGTCGGGAAGCGACTCCGTGACGTCCAGGCTCTGACCCCTCCAGCACCTCTGAGACACGTGGGGGTCAGGCCCATCCACGCTGCCGTTTCCCCCCTGCCCACCGGCGGCCCCCAGAGCCACCTCCAGCCTGCTGGGTCCAGCCCCACAGGTGTAGCCGAGGCCATTCCGCCTGGACAGTCACATGGTCCCGCCACTTCCTGCGTCCGATTCCCTCAGACCCAGCCTTGGGACAGCCCCAGGGCCCCCCATGCCCCTGAAGGCTCCCAGACGAGTCCCTCCTGCCTCAACACCCCCAGCATCAGTCTGGGCAGCCGGAGGGGCCAGGTCCTGGAGGGGCGTCTGCCTGACCCCGGTGGGGGGCACCGGCTCCCGCTCAGACGGCATCTCGCCCCGTAGAGTGACCGCCTTCTGATCCGAGGGGGCAAGGTGGTGAACGCCGACCAGTCCTTCTACGCTGACCTGTACGTGGAGGATGGCCTCATCAAGTAGGTCCTGGATGCCCCCTGAGGGGCCTGAGGGCGCTCCAGGCATGCAGCTCTCAGAGGGGGGGACTGGGGTGTGGGGCAGGGCGGGGGCCGCACAGAGCCCTGCTGGCCACCCCTGCCCGGCACCCTTGACTGCCAGGGAGCTTGGTGGGCCTTGGGCGTGCTGTGGTGCTGTGACCCCGTGTTGCCGGCCTCTCTGCTGCTTGCAGGCAGCTCGGAGAAAGCCTCATCGTCCCCGGGGGTGTCCGGACCATCGACGCCCATGGGCTGCTGGTGCTGCCAGGAGGCATCGATGTACACACCAGGCTGCAGGTGCCCGTCCTGGGCATGACCCCGGCCGACGACTTCTGCCAGGGCACCAAGGCGGCCCTGGCAGGGGGCACCACCATGATACGTGAGTCTGGGGGTGGCGCCTTCCTGGACGTCCTGTCCCCGTCCCTGGCACTGCTGTAGGAGCTGATGGGGAGGAACCCCGTGCCCTCCCTTTGTTCTGTCCCCGTGGCCCTGGCACGCTGAACCCGGAACAGGTGTCTCCTGGGGCGCTGGCGGCTGGCCAGGCTGATGCCCAGCCCAGCGTCCCGCCCTCTGGAGGACTGCGCTGCCGGACGGCCTGTTCGGCCACGCTCAGCCTTGACTCCGGGTCTCGGCCGTGGTGCCGCCTCGCCCCTCACACAGGGCGCGCCCCAACCTGCGCCTGCGCAGTTGTTCAGCTGGAGGCGGAGCCCCCCTCCCCCTGGCTGGCGCCCCGCCTGCCCACCCACCTGCCCACCTGCCTCTGCCTTTACCTCCGGCCTCAGCAGGGCAGCTCTCCTGGGCTCGGAGGGGCTCCAAGTGGCTGGGTGGGGCTGGGGTCAGCTCACTCCGTTGCGGGTCAGGGGGCTGAGCCCTCTGTGCCCTGCACCTCTCCAGGCCAGGAGAGCAGATAAAGGGGTCGGGGAGTGGACACGCGGGACTTCTGGGTCCCAGGGACACCGGCACTCTGAAGGACCTCCCATGTGACACTGGGTGTGTCCAGGATCATGGCTTGTCCCACTGGCCTGGCCACCAGGGCCATCACTGCAGGCCGATGCTCATGCTTATCCAGGGCCAGCCAGGACCCAGGAGGCCTCGGTCACCGCTCTGTAGGTCTGTGGCATCTGGTCAGCCAGGGTGTCGTGTGTGGAGGGACTGGCCAGTGGGCGCATTGGCACATGCGAGGGGTGCTCGAGGGGGCCAGGCAGTAGAGACCTGAGTGCTTTTCCACTCAGACCAGGACCGGAGCCCTTTGACCTGCCCACGAGGCCGGGAGGGGACATGGGCGGGGCTCACCCCTTCCCCTGGGCCTCCGGGCACACGCCTTTGGGACAGGGCGGGTGACGAGCCCCTCGCTCCTGACCCAGGCCCACTTCGGTGGTCTCCTACGCAGCATGGCCCCTGGTCCTGGGGTTCTGTCCTTCAGAAGTGGGGGGTGTTCCCGCTGCTCTCTGCGCAGAGGGGGGCCGGGGCAGAGCCTTGGGTGGGTCCCCGCAGCCCCCGCCGCAGGCGCAGGAACCTAGACCTAGAGTGACCCCGCCTGCCCACAGTGGACCACGTGTTTCCCGAGGCGGGCGTGAGCCTGCTGGCGGCCTACGAGCAGTGGCGAGAGCGTGCGGACAGCGCTGCCTGCTGCGACTACTCCCTGCACGTGGACATCCCCCGCTGGCACGAGAGCACCAAGGAGGAGCTGGAGGTCCTGGTCAAGGACAAGGGTGAGGGGCCGCTGCAGAGGGGCGCGGCCTGGAGGAGAGGGGGCAGCTAGGAGGGGGTGGAACCTGGCGGGGGCGGAGCTTCAGGGCGAGGAGCCAGGCTGTGGGGGCGGAGCTTCAGGAGGAGGAGCTAGGCCGAGGGGTGGGGACTGGAGAGGCGGAGCTTCTGGTGGGAGGAGCTAGGTTCTGTAGGGGCGGGGCTTTAGAGGGGAGGAGCTTTGGTGGGAGGAGCTTTAGTGGGGAGGAGCTGGGGTCTGGGGCGGGGCTTTAGAGGGGAGGAGCTAGGCCGAGGGGTGGGGCCTGGAGGAGATGGAGCGTCTGTGGGGAGGAGCTAGGCCATAGAGTGGGCCTGGATGGGGCGGGGCTTCAAAGGGGAGGAGCTAGGCCATAGAGTGGGCCTGGATGGGGCGGGGCTTCAAAGGGGAGGAGCTAGGCCATAGAGTGGGCCTGGATGGGGCGGGGCTTCAAAGGGGAGGAGCTAGGCCATAGAGTGGGCCTGGATGAGGCGGGGCTTCAAAAGGGAGGAGCTAGACCGCAGAGTGTGGCCTGGAGGGGTGGAGCTTCAGAGGGGAGGAGCTCGGTCGCAGGATGTGGCCTGGAGGGGTGGAGCTTCAGAGGGGAGGGGCTAGGTAGTGGTTAGGGCCTGGCGGGGCGGAGCTTCAGGGGGGAGGGGCTAGACCGCAGCATGTGGCCTGGAGGGGGCGGAGCTTCAGAGGGGAGGAGTTAGATCGCAGGGTGTGGTGTGGAGGAGTGGAACCTCAAAGGGGCGGAGCTAGGTGGTATGGTGGGGCCTGGAGGGGCGGGGCTTCAGGGGAGGGGCTAGGCCATGGGTGGGGCTTGGAGGGGCTGGGGCTTGGGCGGTGGATGCCCGGTGGAAGGTGGGCTGGGCAGCGGAGCCGCTGTCCCTGGTGGGCAGGCAGTGCGGGGCCCCGGCCTGTGGGTGTGCGGCGGGCGGGCGGCGGCGGCGAAGGGCTGGCTCTTCCAGTGCCTCATCCTCCTGTTCGAGGGGCAGGTGGGCGTCTGCTGCCCACTCGCAGAGGCGCCCTGCTTCCTGGCTTCTGGGCCCCGTAGCCGAAACACGCGGGTTCGTTCCCTGGGCCGGACACCCGATGCCTCCCCTGCCCCTGCAGGGTGATTCTTGAGCGCAGGGCAAGCTCGCACTGCCGGATGTGCCCCCTCCCAAAACACCCTCATTCTGGGCAGAGCGTGGAAGTTGCGTCGTGGGCCTGGTGACAGTCGAGTGTGGGAGCCAGTTTCTGGGGCTTGGGCTGACCGGGAAGTGGGGGGTGGCGGCTGCGGCAAGGGGGTCGTCAACTGGCGCCTCCCGTGCCCTGTAGCCCTGGGAAGCTGGAGAAGGGTCAGATGCTGCCCTGGGGTGGTCACACGCCCTTCCGCGGGCAGGTGAGTGGACTCCTGCCCTCTGAGCCCCTCGCCTGCCGACAGCCCTGGCCACAGGTCCTCGTCTGGGCCCTGGAGGGGGACATGGCGCCTCCAGCTGCGCTCACCTGGCTGATAGAGCTGAGTGGTGTTTGCTGCCAGCTGGGCCGGGAGAGCGAGTCTGGGCAGGGGACACGGGGGTCCCTGACTCCCCGTTAGCAGGTGGAGGCCAGTGGGGATACGGTCTGGGAGCAGGGCTGAGCTCTCCTGCCGCTCCCCCAGGTGTGAACTCCTTCCTGGTTTTCATGGCCTACAAGGACAGATACCAGTGCTCTGATGGCCAGGTCGGTCGTGGGCCGTGGGGCGGGCCTGTGGGCGGGGCCAGGCGCAGCCCTGCAGCACACTCAGGTGCCCCCCGCCCCCACTCCGTCCTCCCAGATGTACGAGATCTTCAGCATCATCCGGGAGCTGGGAGCCTTGGCCCAGGTGCACGCGGAGAATGGCGACATCATAGAGGAGGTAAGCGTGTAGCGGGGCCGGTGGCCCTGTGTCAGATGTGAGCAGGTGCCACAAAGCCCGCAGGAGGGACGGTGGAGGCCCCAAGCGGACAGACGTCGTGCCTGGGCACCGGGGGCCAGAGCACAGGTGCCGCGAACTCTCCAGCTTCTCACCCAGAGCTCTGGGCCCTGGCAGCCGAGTCAAGGCTCCTGACCAGGGCCCAGGGCCACTGCAGGCAGACCTCTCTCCCCACTCGATGGCCCTGGGAGTTCTGGGGTCCCCTGCCTGCCTGAGGAGGTCCCAAGCAGCTCAGCTCACCTGCCTCCAAGTTCGCCAGGGGAGGGGGCTCTGGGGAGCCTGCCATGGTCCCTCGGCTTGGGGCCGTGGGCCACACTGAACCTCCCAGCTCCAGGCCCAGTTGGGCCTCGCATGGATCCTGTTGCCTGGGCAACCGAGCGCCCTGGGATGGCCTGTGTTGGGGCCGGGGGCGGGGGGTCCTGTTCCGTGAGGGCGTCTGTCTGTCCTCTGCTGGCGCCCGGGAAGCCAGCCCAGGTGGTCTCCCGCGGGGAGGGGGTGTGCAGGGATTTTTCGCCTCGTGTCTGGAGCACTATGCCTGTCTCTGCGCAGGAGCAGAAGCGGCTGCTGGATCTGGGTGTCACCGGCCCGGAGGGCCACGTGCTCAGCCGCCCCGAGGAGGTGAGTGATGGGCCCGTGCCCGCCTGCCAGTGCCCCAGCCCCGCCTCTGCCCGCTGTCCCGCTGGGGCACCACACCCGTGCCCGCCTGCCAGCTGCCCCAGACCTCGCCTCTGCCCCACTGGCCGCGGGTCCCCTGGGGCCTCGCCCAACTGACCAGCCTGTTCCGGGTCTCCCCTCGGGGCCTGGGGCCGCGGGAGGCCCGGCCGTGGGTGTGGCCTGAGCCCCCCGTCTGCAGGTGGAGGCCGAGGCTGTGTTCCGTGCGGTCACCATCGCCAAACAGGCCAACTGCCCCCTGTACGTGACCAAGGTGATGAGCAAGGCTGCGGCGGACACGGTGGCGCGAGCCCAGCGCAGAGGTGAGCGCCTGCCCCTGCCCGCAGCTAACCGGACGCCTCAGGGGACGCCGCCCTCAGGCCCGTGCTGGCTCCTGTGTGCCAGGAGCCGGGGACGTGTGGTTTGTGCGTTAGGTGCCTGTGACAGGTGTGTGTGTGTCATGCATGCAGGAAGAGTGTGACATGCATGTGTGGTGATGTGACCGGTGTCCGTGTGTGACACGTCTGTAGTGTTTGACACGTACATGTGGCAGACGTCTAAGGTGTGTGCTTGGTGACTGCTGTGTGGCCTCCATGTGTGACAGGCATGTTCAGTGAATGTCACAAGTGTGTAGGGTGTGACTTCTGTGCCAGTCACAGCAGGCATGGCGGCACATGTTGCGTGTACGCCGCATGCAAGTGGGAGGTGACGTGGCGTGTTCCGGCATGCGACAGGCACACAGACATGGCAGGCGCGTGGCCCGTGTCACAGGTGCATGTGGCACATGGTAGGCGTGACGTGCGTGACAGGTGCCCCTATGATGGGCATGTGAGGTGAGTGGCAGGTGACAGGTGCTTGTACTGTGTGGGAGGTAAGTGACATGCGTCAGGCGCACGTGACAGGTATGTAGCAGGTACACGTGATAGGTGCGTTGGCAGGCATGAGAAGTGCGTGAGCACACGTGTCCTGCCGAGGGCTGCGCCCTCCACCGGGGTCTGGGTGGCTGTGACCAGCCGGGCTGGGCCGTGGGGCCCATTCCAGGGTCCTGCACGGGTGCGGCCTCGAGGAGACGCGGGCTGGCTGGGAGGGGCAGGAGGGGCTTGAACCGCATCAGCCCTCCTTCAGACGCCCCCCGCCTGCCGCTGGTCCACTCGGAGGGAGACAGTGTCCGGGGAGGGGGGCAGGGCCGGCGCCCAGGCCTGAGGCCCCGTGGTCCCCGCAGGGCTGGTCGTGTTCGGCGAACCCATCACGGCCAGCCTGGGCACCGACGGCTCTCACTACTGGAGCAAGACCTGGGCCAAGGCCGCAGCCTTCGTCACCTCGCCCCCCATCAGCCCGGACCCCACCACCGCTGACCACCTCAGCTTCCTGCTCTGCAGGTCAGGGACCCCATGCTCCATGCCCCGCTACCCTGCATGCTCCGTGTCCCACACACGTGCCACGTGGGCCCCTTCTGGGCAGGGCCACGTGAGTTGCCCTTGTGCCTGCCCTCTGAGGTGCTAGTGCCACTCCTGTGCCCGCCCTGCCCAGCTTCCGGGCCAGCCCGTGAGGCCCGTGTCCTCTTCTCCCCCAGTGGGGACCTCCAGGTGACGGGCAGCGCCCACTGCACCTTCACCACGGCCCAGAAGGCCGTCGGCAAAGACAACTTCACCCTCATCCCCGAGGGCACCAACGGCGTGGAGGAGCGTCTCTCCGTGGTGTGGGAGACGTGTGTGGTGAGTGCCCGGGCATCCCCCCCACGGGCTGTCCTCTGCATCTGCTGAGCCCAAGGGGCCCTCGGGCTCGAGTCTCGGGGGTGGGCAGAGCCAGGCCATGGGCAAGAGCAGGGGCTGCTGCCTCCCCGGAAGCCCAGCCCTGCACGCTCCCCGGCCCCCCGTCACCCAGCCTGTGGGGACCTTGAGGACCTCACGCACAGACTCCCACGAGCACAGGATCGGAGCAGCCCGCGGCTGCCGTGGGCGGGAGGCCCCCTGCCCACTCTGCTGCTTGCTTCTCAGGCCTCGGGGAAGATGGACGAGAATGAGTTCGTCGCTGTGACCAGCACAAACGCGGCCAAAATCTTCCATTTGTACCCCCGGAAGGGGCGGGTGGCCGTGGGCTCTGACGCCGACCTGGTGCTCTGGAACCCCAAGGCCACCAAGATCATCTCGGCCAAGAACCACAACCTGGTAGGAGCAGCCGGGGCAGCAGGTCGGGGCAGTGTCAGCAGGTTGGTGGCAGGCAGGGGTCTGGCCCCTGGTGGCCCCCAGCAGAGCCCCGGGCAAGTGCACGCAGCAGCCCTGCTCCCTGGATCACTGACCTCGTGTGCACATGTGCCTGCGTGTGCTTCCACACGTGTCTGCTTGCGTGTGTGCAGGGGCTGCATTGCAGGCCGCCCTGGGTCTTGGCCCCTCCGGGCCTCTGGGTGGAAGGGGGGTGGGTGTGGCAGGGGACACGGAGTCCCTGGGCACTGCTCAGGGCTCCAGGGCCTGGGCGTGGCCTGACGCTGCTTCTCCCCCCGCCCCCAGAACGTGGAGTACAACATCTTCGAGGGCCTGGAGTGCCGCGGGGCGCCCGCCGTGGTCATCAGCCAGGGCCGGGTGGTGCTGGAACACGGCAGCCTGCTGGTCACCCCCGGGGCCGGGCGCTTCATCCCCCGGAAGCCCTTCCCCGACTTCGTCTACAAGAGGATCAAGGCCCGGAACCGGGTAAGGCTGGGCCAGGCACCTCGTGGAGGGTGTGGGGGGGTGTCTGGCTCCTGTCGGTGGCAGAGGAGGGTCTGGAGGGCTCTGGCAGCCGCCGCCACCACTGTGGGAGACATGGCAGCTGGGAAGATCCGGCCGGCAGCCACTGTGGTGAGAGCCTCCCCAAGGGACACGTGTGGGCGTGGGGTGGGGCGCCCGCGGGGCTTTGAGCCCTGAGTTTACCCCGGGGCCTTGCTTCTGCTGTCCCAGCCCTGAGCCACCCACACGCATGCACCCAGGTGTGCCTGCATCTCTGCACATGTGTGAACACACTCAGCACACATGCACACACGCTCTGCACGCTGTGCCGTCCCTGGTTTCAGGTGGAGAGTGGCCCCAGCCTGGGTGGGTGGGGGCACTGCCCTGCTCGCAGCCCCACCTTTCCGGCCATGGGTGCCGCTCGGCCGTCCCAGGTCTCATGGGGCCTGCGAGGAGCAAGGTGGGTCCCGACCACTGTTGCTCTTGCTGTGGCGGGTACAGAGAGACCCGCCCTGGGTGCACAGCCCCACGTAGTACCAGCCCCGCTGGGGGTGGGAGGGTGGGAGGCGCCAGTCCAGGCAGGTTCCCAGCGCGTCTGAGGTGCTGTGGGGATCCTCACCTGGTGCCCACCTTTGGGGACGCGTCTCTGTGCTGCAGCACCGCCAGGGGTGGATCCCATCCCAGAGCTAGTGTCGCCCGGGGCCGTGCGCCCTGTCATGTTCAGGACTGGCCGCGGGCCTTGGGTTGGGCAGAGCGTGTGCGCGAGAAACGGGCCTTGCACGTGGGGGCGGGGCCTCTGCACAGGAGAGTGCACAAGGGGAGGGGCCTATGCACGACATTTGGGGTCTGTGTATGTGGGAGGAACCTTGCACCGGGGCGGGGCCTGTGCTCGTGGGGGCGGGGCTTTGCACGTGGGGCCTTGAACTGGGGCGGAGCCTGTACACGTGGGGGCGGGGCCTTGCACAGGGTGGGACCTGTGAGCTTGGGGGCGGTACTGTGCCCATGGGGCGGGGCCTATGCGTGTGGGGGCGTGGCCTGTGCCCATGGGGCGGGGCTTATGCGTGTGGGGGCGGGGCCTAGCACCGGGGCGGGGCCTATGCGTGTGGGGGCGGGGCCTTGCACAGGGTGGGACCTGTGAGCTTGGGGGCGGTACTGTGCCCATGGGGCGGGGCCTATGCGTGTGGGGGCGTGGCCTGTGCCCATGGGGCGGGGCCTATGCGTGTGGGGGCGGGGCCTAGCACCGGGGCGGGGCCTATGCGTGTGGGGGCGGGGCCTTGCACAGGGTGGGACCTGTGAGCTTGGGGGCGGCACTGTGCCCATGGGGCGGGGCCTATGCGTGTGGGGGCGGGGCCTAGCACCGGGGCGGGTCCTGTGCCCAGGGGGCGGGGCCTGACCCAGCAGGGCCAGGCGCACGGCTGGCCCGGCCGCCCCGCGCCCCCTCACGCCCGTCCCGCCCGCAGCTGGCCGAGATCCACGGTGTCCCCCGAGGCCTCTACGACGGGCCTGTCCACGAGGTGATGGTGCCCGCCAAGCCGGGGGGCGGCGCCCAGGCCCGCGCGTCCTGCTCCAGCAAGGTCTTCGTGCCGCCCGTGCGCAACCTGCACCAGTCGGGCTTCAGCCTGTCGGGTGAGCACTGCGGGCGAGCACTGCGGGGCGGGCGTCCGGGGCGGTCGGGGGCGGCGGGCGCCACGGCCGGGGGTCCCCGGGCCCGCGCCGTCCGCCCCACCCGCGCCTCTCCCCGCAGGCTCCCAGGCCGACGACCACGTGGCCCGCCGCACCGCGCAGAAGATCATGGCCCCCCCGGGGGGCCGCTCCCACATCACGTCCCTGTCCTAGGCCCCCCCGACCCCCGACCCCCGACCCCCGACCCCGAAGGCGCCCCTGCCGCGAGCAGGCCCATTAAAGTCCTCTGGGTCGGAACTGCGTGTGGAGCCGGGGGTGGGCGGGAGGGAGCGGGGTCGTCCCTGCGCCCCAGCCGGCCGGAGCGGGGTGGAGGCCAGACCCGGCTGTGCAGCCCGGAACCTTCTAGAAGGACGTTGCACCCCCCCACACACACCTGAGCGGCACCGCAGGCGGGAAGGGCGGGTCAGCCCGCTGGCCATGCGGCCTCAGCAGGTGCTGGTGCTCATCAGACCCTCCCTGGCCACTGGCCGGCACCAGGCACCATCCGGGTTCCGCAGCAGCGATGGGTCTCCACAGGTGCCCCGCAGGGCCCAGCCACGGTCACCACCCCGGGGGCCCCTCACCCCTGCATGGGGGTCACAGGGTCCACCCCTCACCCCTACACGGGGTAGGGGGGTCACACACTCTACCCCTCACCCCTGCACGGAGGGCACATGTTCCACCACTCACCCCTGCACAGGGGGAGGGATCACGCTTCATTCCTGCATGGGATCAGGCTCCACTCCTTCCCCTGCAACCCGGCACGTGAGCGCACACCGGGAGCAGCCTGGCCACTGTGCTCAGACATTGGTCCTCGGGGGTCCCTGTGCCCCCAGGCTAGGACGCAAGCCTGGGCTCCCGCATCCCAGACTCCTCCCTGTGTCCCTGGGGTCAGGTGTGACCACACGGTGGCCTCCCCGGGGCCCCGGCGACGGGCTGAGGGGACCCTCCCCAACAGCAGCAGCCGAGGTCCGGGCTCGTGGCCCGCAGCTGCATGGGGGACACTCGGGCTCGAGTGCTCACACTCGAGGCTCAGCCACACGGGTCAGGGCGAGGCGGGTGCCCGCAGCATAGACACGGCGCCAGCTTTCCTCACGCTGTAATTCAAAGCGAGCCGCCTGGCGGCGTCCCAACCCAGCCCCAAGGCAGGCAGCCGTGGACACAGATGGGAGCTGTCCTGGCCGGGCAGCTGGCCACGCTGCCCACCACGGCAGCAGCCTGAGCACCGTGGCCCTCGCCTGCTCGGGTCCACACCCAAGGCCACACGCGCGGCCCCGGCCCCGCTGCTGAGGTCAGAAGGTCAGTGAGAAGGCGGTGCCGCCCACACGCGGCTGCCCAGTCCGGGTCCTGGCCATGGGCACCAGGCTAGCCGCTCCCGCCTGAGGGGCAGACGGAGCCACAAGGGGGCAGGGCCGGCTGTGCCCCCTCGCCGTCCCCGGGCAGCTCCGCATCAGGAAGGGGCTCGCTCGTGCCCTCCTGGTCCCGCCGCAGCCTGGAGGAAAGCAGAGCAGAGGCATCAGGGCGCCCCGCACGCCCCGGGGCCGGGGAGACCCCTCAGGGAGGCCCCGGCTCGCAGCAGCGGCCAGCGGCAACCGGGACACCCAGGCCGGCCCCGCCTCACCTTTCTCTGTTGAAGATCACGAAGTCCTGCTGGATGGCGTCCAGGCAGTCCTGCAGATAGTCGTTCTCCTGGGAACAGGCGGGCACGTCACCCAAGGGGTCCCACTGGCCCTCGGGACCCCGTCTCCCTGCCCTCTGCCGGCTTGTCACATTCCCACCTGAGGGTCAGTGTGCCGGGTCTGCCCAGAGGGGAAGTCGGAGCTGGGCCCCGCACAGACCAGAGGGTGGGTGTGGGCACTGAGCAGAGGGAGGACCATCCGATACAGGCGAGCGTGAGCACAGGTGTGAGCACAGGTCAGGGGGAGCCCAGGTGAGCGTGAGCCCAGGTGAGTGTGAGCCGAGATGGGTGTGAGCACAGGTAAGCGTGAGCAGAGGTGAGTGTGAGCGCAGGTGAGTGTGAGCGCAGGTGAGCGTGGGCGCAGGTGGGCGCGAGCCCGAGCGCGCAGGTGCGGACGCAGGTGCTCACCGACTGGGAACTGTCCCTGCTGCTGTCCCGGGAGCGGTTCTTGGCCAGGCGCTTCTTCTTCTTGTGCAGGGGCTTCGACTCCAGGATCATCTCCTCCAGCTCAAAGGTGGGGTCGCAGTGCAGGCGGCCTTTCTGTGGGGACGTGCCCGGCTCCCTGGGCTCACGCCAGGCACCGGCCGCCAGCCTGACCCCGCTGGGCACTGACCCTGCCCCCACCCGCCGGCTGACCCCCGGCCTGACCCCGCTGGGCACCGACCCCCGTCCCCAACCCCGCCGACCGACCCCCGGCCCCGACTCACATTGGGCACGAAGCCGGGCTCCACCTTCTTCTCGCTCAGACGGTCCCAGAGCACAGTGGCCAGGGAGGGCGCGGCCTGCATCTCCTGCAGGCTGGAGCAGCGGTGCTTGGGGTCCACGGTGAGGAGCTGGAACCAGACTGGCTGAGGGGGCGGCGTCGGCACCCAGGGCCCGACCCAGCCGCGACCGGCCGCCGGGGACCAGGGCAAAGCAAGGGAAGGCGGGCTTCGGGAGACCCTGGTCAGCAGAAACTGGCCCTGGGGCCTACGGTGTGCCTGCCCGAGGCCCTGAGGGGGACCCCCAGACCACAGCACCCCAGGGCACCGCCAGCGTGCAGGACCCAAACCAGGAGTGGCCCGGAGGCCCCAGGAGAGGAGAGGAGTGCCGAGTGCGGGACCCGCACCCAGGAACCTGGGCAGGCCAGGGGTGGGCTGGCGCCGGCTGTGACCCCCGTGGCCACACGTGCAAACCCAGAGTCTGCGTGTAAAGGGCTCCCCGGGGATGGGGCGGGCAGTGAAGGGCTCCAGCCGGGCCTCGGGGAGGCCCAGTGATCGCTCTGCCTTGGCTCTGGGGATTCCCGGCTCTGGCGGTGCCCCCACAGAGTCAGGGCTGGGGTCCAGGCAGGTGACCACCTGTGCTGTCCCCGGAGCACAGCAGGGGCGGCTGGCGGGGGCGGGGGGCTGTGCGTGGTGACCGAGGGACAGGCCGACGGGGACAGGGACCTGCGGGGCAGGCATGCAGGGGCGCCGTGGACACCCGGCCCACCTTGCGCAGCAGGACCACCGTGTCCTTGGACCAGGCGGGTGCGTACTGCACGCTGGCCGTGCCGAAGAGCTGCACGAGCGAGTCCACGGAGCTGTTGGGCTGGATGTCGTACGGCCTCTGGGGAGAAGCGGCGTGAGGAGCCCCGGGCGGTGGGGGGCCGGAGGAGGGGACGGGAGGGGCCCCCCACACTGGCCGGCGCAGTGACAGGGACCGCCGGAACGTACCCATCCCCGCAGCAGCTCGTAAGCCATCACGCCCACTGACCACCAGTCCACCTCGAAGGAGTAGCCGCTGCCACCGCTGACGAAGGACTGGAAGATTTCTGGAGCTTTCCAGAAAACAATGGCCGCTGGTGCCCGAGGTCCTTCCCGCATCACACCATGGCTCCCTCGCAGTCTCCCCACCACTGCCCACTGACCCCACACTGCCCGCTGTCCTCCTCACTCTCTCTGCCCACTGTCACCCGCACCGTCTCTGCCCACTGTCACTATTCACTGTCACCTGCACTGCCCACGGTCCCCATCACTGCCCACTGCCCATTGTCACCCTCACTGTCTCTGCCACTGTCACTGCCCACTGTCCACTGCACTATCGCTGCCCACTACCCCTGCTCCCATGGAGAGTCCTGCCCACCAAGCCCCAGGGGCACTCACCCATGTATGGTTTGGTGCCCGCCAGGGCGGTGGCCCTCTCGCCGTCCTTGATGATGGTGGCGATGTTGAAGTCCGTCAGGTGAGCGTGTCCTGCGAGGAGCCCAGTGAGTGTCCCTGCCGGCCCCCGCCCCCCCGCCCCCTCGCAGGCCTCACGCACCTTGCTCGTCCAGGAGGATGTTGTCGGGCTTCACGTCCCTGCAGAGAGAGAGCCAGACGCCGTCCCGAAACGCCCCGCCTGCCGTGTCGGGTGGGGGCTGGGGCGGCTGCAGAGGGCCCGTCCACGCGCCGCTGCCCACGGCGTGGCCCAGCCCCGGGGCCTCGGCCGCCTCTGCTGCAGTTGCTGACGTGGGGACAGGCGGGCGCGGGGCCCGGGGGGACGCGCCCGTGGACGGCGTGCGGACACACCTGTGGATGATGTGCTGGCCACGCAGGTAGTCGAGCGCCAGCGCCATCTCGCACACGTACAGCCGCACCGTGTCCTCGGAGAAGCGCACGTTGCGCTGCAGGTGGTAGCGTAGGTCTCCGCCCAGCATCAGGTCCACCACCATGAACATGTCCTCCTCGTCCTGGAAGGAGTACCTGCGGGCGGCGGCGGCACTGCGAGGGGCCCCGGGGAGGGGCCGGGAGCACTGGGCGGGGAGGCGGGGCGGCCGGGCCCCGGCTGTCTGCAGGCCCCATCCCAGACCGGGCAGCGGCAGCAGGGAGCACGGCGTGGTCCTCCCTGTCTGCGCACGGGCGGGCTCTGAGGGTGTCTTGGGGCTGTGGGGCTTGGCACCGGTGTGACATGACAGGGGACATGGGGAAGACACCGTGTGACGTGGGATGTGGTCGGGCAGGTCGTGAGCGTGTCAGGACCCGAGGACCTGTCCCGGCATGAGGGCGAGGCGTGTCCTGGCGTGGGGGAGCGTCACAGCACAGGGATCTGTCCTGTGGGGCGGGGCGTGTCACGGGCATGCTGCATCTGGGGCGTGTCTGGGGCATGTCACGGGGGCATGTCTGCGGTGTGTCCTGGGACATGTTCTAGGGCATGTCTGGAGTATGTCTGGGATATGTAGGTGGCGTGTTGTGGGCCTGGCACAGGGGCACGTCTGAGGTATGTCTGGAATGTGTCTGTGTCTGGAACGTGTCTGGGGGGGTCTTCTCTGAGCATGTCACAGGCAAGTCTGGGGCGTGTCGTAAGCATGTCTGGGGAGTGTCCCAGGCATGTCACAGGTGTGACCAGCCATGTCACAGGCGTGTCACGGGCGTGTCACAGGCGTGTCTGGGGAATGTCCCAGGCGTGTCTGGGCGTGTCTGGGGAATGTCCCAGGCGTGTCTGGGCGTGTCCAGCCATGTCACAGGCGTGTCACGGGCGTGTCTGGGGAGTGTCCCAGGCGTGTCTGGGCGTGTCCAGGCGTGTCACAGGCGTGTCTGGGCGTGTCCAGGCATGTCACGGGCACGTCACGGGCGTGTCTGGGGAGTGTCCCAGGCGTGTCTGGGCGTGTCCAGGCATGTCACAGGCGTGTCTGGGGAATGTCCCAGGCGTGTCTGGGCGTGTCCAGCCATGTCACAGGCGTGTCACGGGCGTGTCTGGGGAGTGTCCCAGGTGTGTCTGGGCGTGTCAAGGCGTGTCACAGGCGTGTCTGGGCGTGTCCAGGCATGTCACGGGCATGTCACGGGCGTGTCTGGGGAGTGTCCCAGGCGTGTCTGGGCGTGTCCGGGCGTGTCCCAGGCGTGTCTGGGCGTGTCGCGGGCGTGACTGGTGCTCACTCACCACAGGTTCACCAGGAACGTGTGCTCGATCTCCTGCAGGATCTCCAGCTCCCGGAAGACGTTGCGCACCTCGTCCCGCTCCACGCACTGCTGCTTGTTCATGTACTTCATGGCGAACATCTTCTCCGTGTCCCGCTTCTGCACGATGCACACCTGGCGGGGCGGGAGGGGCGGGTCAGAGCACGCCCCAGCCCCAGCCCTGCCCTCCCCCAGCACCCCCCGCAGCCCTGCCTCCCGGGTATCAGGACCCACCCCAGAGCCCAGGCCAGCTGCCCACCCCACGGGAGGGCCGGCCCGAGAGTCGGCTCCTGCCGGCCGCCCTCCGGCCCTGCTCCGCCCCACGCAGGGGCAGCCCACAGAGGCCTGGCGGGACCGACCTTCCCTCTACGCGGAGGCCTCCGGGCTGCCTGCGACCCCTGCACCCTCTCCTGAGCGATGCCCCCCGCGCGGGCTGGCGTCACCCCTACCTTGCCAAAGCTGCCTTTCCCGATGGCCCGCAGGATCTGGAAGTGGTCAAAGTTCACTGTGGGCACGAGAGGGGGAGGGGTGAGGTGGCAGCCCCGAGCCCTGAGCCCCAGACAGGACCCCCACCCCAGCCCCACGGACAGGAGCCCCCCACCCGCTTGCCTTGAGGCAGACTCAGACCTGAGAGGAACAGAATGGCGCCTGCAGGGGTGAGGGGAGGACCCCAGCGCCCACGAACCCAACGCAGGGGGTGCCAAGTTGCCAGAACCCCCAGTGTGCCCAGGAACACACCCTCAGGCGCACACTCCCGTCTGCACCCCAGGGACAGCCGGGCAAGGCCACTGCTCGTGACTGAGGTACACGGGAACGTGTATTCATTGCTGCCCGAGACTCAGGCGCAGGTGAGTCCCCGGTCCCAGGGACAGGGACACAACATGTGGCTTCCGCCTGCCAGGCATGGCCGGACACCCCCGATCCCCATCCCAGCCAGGACTGTCGGGGTGGCTCGGGGCCCTGGGCCCTTCCTCCCAGAACATGGTGGGCTCCCCCCAGCCCAGGGGCACTGCAGGCTCTGCGTGCCCGGGATCTCTCCCTGGGCTGGGGAGGCAGCAGTGGGGTCCCAGCCCCCTACCCCCGCCTTCACTCAACTCCCCCCACCAGCCGGAGCCCAGCAGGCCTGAGGCTTCCCCCACTGGGGGCCCAGTAGTGGCCCTGGGAGGGTCCCTCAACCCCGGCCACACTCTGAGGGGGCGGCTGCGAGCCCCTGGGGTCATGACTCTGGGAAGCAGCGGGACCCAGCAACGGCCCGGGGCCGGGAGACCTGTCAGGGCACAGCTGCCCTCCAGCCCCAGGGTGGTGGCTCCCAGACCCCAACACGGGCCCTGCCCCCTCCCCGAAGCCCCGACTGCCTCGGCTGCAGCACCTTCAGTGGGCCGTGGTGCAGCAGACGCGGGTGCACATGCGTGGGCACACGTGTGATGTGCACGGGTGACCCGCACGCATGTGTGTATGGCTCGCCCTGGGTGGGTGAGCAGGTGTGCCTGCACGTGTGTGGGCATGTGTGCATTTGTGCACGAGACGTGTGTGTACATGCGTGCAAAGCTTTGCCCGTGTGTGCATGTGTGTACAGGTGTGGGTGTCTGTGTCTACACGTGTGCATTTCCACACGCACGTACTCTTGTGTCAGTGTGCACGTGTGTCTGCATCTGTTCCTGCACCTCGGTGGATCTGTGTGGCCATGTCTCTCCGTGCACCTGCATGCCAGGCCAAGGCGCCCGGGTCGCCCTCAGCTCAGACCACCCGGATCTCTGTTCTAGCAACATGGGTGCCTGTCTGTGCCCGTGTCTGCTCGTGATGTAGCCAAGCGGGCCCTGGGTGTCACGTGACCGCCTCTTCAGACATGTTCATGTGCACATTCGTGTGCAGAGTGCACAGAAACACACGTGTCCTGGGGTGCGCCTGCGCCTGTGTGTGTGTGTGTTCGGGTGAACCCATGGAGAGGAACACGTGTCTGTGCGTGTGCCCTAGGCTGGCCCCTGTGTACATGTTCATGTGCGCGTCTGACACGCATGCATCTCTGCATGCATGTTCAAACGTGCGTATGCACACGTGTGTGGCGTGTGTGTGTGTCTGCCCTCTCATGTATGTCAGCGTGACACGTGTGTCCATGACCGGGCGCGTGGCGGCAGCAGCTTTGGCCCAGCTCTCACAGGCGCATCTTGCCTGGGTCCGCCTGCCCTGTGGGAGCAGCCGCTCCTGGTGTGCGAAGGTTCTGCTGGGCCGGCCCTCTCTCCCAGCGGGCGGGAGGCTAGGGCGGCTGCGGGCTGGGGGAAGCTGACCCAGGCCGCCGGAGGCTCCAGGCACTGATCCCTCTGGGCCTCCAGCCGTCCTCGCAGGCCAGAGCCCAGAGCACCCCGCCCTCCGCACTGCTCCGAGGTGGGATGCCCCAGGGCCACTTAGCGCCTGGAGCAATTAACACCCGGCAGGGAATCCTCACCCGGCAGTCACCCTCCCGCTCCTCCAGCTCTGCAGTACCGGCAGGCACCAACAGAGGGAGCCGCTGCCCCCCAAGCGAGCCGGTCCCCCAGGTCCCGGCAGATGCAGGCCGGAAACTGTGGGTGTCCCAGTGGCTGGCTCAAGGGGCTCGGCCCAGGGCACCCGCCCTGGGTAGAGGGGGGAAGGAAAAGAGGGGTGGGCAGCGAGGGAAGGGCGGAAGAGGCAGCCGGTGAAGGCCTGTCCCCACCAGGGTGCTGACGGGGACCCACAAGAGCAGGGTCCGGGGCAGTGAACTGCACGCTGAGACCTGGTGCGGGGACAGTAAACCCAGACACCTGCAAGCTGAAGGAAGGGTGTGGGCGGGGGGGCCTGGACGCTGGGTCAGGCCGGGCGGGGGGGGGGGGCGGGGCGGGAGGACATGAGGCGGGCTGGGCTGGGCTGGGCTCAGCTGGGCTCTGGCACTGGCCGGGCCGCCCTGTGCAGCGGGAACTGCGGTGGGGCGGGGCAGAGACAGCAACGTCCTCCCCGGGGGCCTCGGCGGCAGGGACAGCTGCCCTTTCCACCCGCCCCACACCAGGGCCGCGGCCTAGAGAAGGGGCCTGGTGTCTGCCGCGTGCTTGGCGGGAGGTGCCTGCTGACCAGAGCTCCCGGGCTCACTCACGTCCTCCAAGGGCCAACGAGAGCGAGCCAAGGGGCCTGGTCAGAGGGAGCCTGCAGGGGTGCTCCGCCCCCGCCGCAGGCAACGGCCCCAAGGGTGCCCAGCGAAGGTCCTCACAACCCCGCGCCCACCCGCTCTGAGCAAGAGGCGGGGCAACTCCACCAGCCACGGCAGCACTGCGGAGAGTGGTCCATGGTGCCACCACAGTGCTGACCACACAGCTGGCCACAGAGCTGCCCATGGTGCCCAACATGGCACTAAACAGTGCTGACCGTGGTGCTGACCACACAGCTGGCCACAGAGCTGCCCATGGTGCCCAACATGGCACTAAACAGTGCTGACCGTGGTGCTGACCACACAGCTGGCCACAGAGCTGCCCATGGTACTAAACACGATAGTAAATAGTCGCTGACCATGGTACTGACCACACTGCTGACCTCAGTACTATGAAGCTGACCATTTGTGCTGGCTATCCTGCAGGCACTGCTCGGGGGTGCTGGTGACTGAACTGTCCCCCCAGGTGCTGTCTGGGGTGCTGACCACAGGACACTCAAGGGGCCTAGTGAGGGCTGGCCGCCTTCCTTCTCCCGTCCAGAGGCAGCTCAGTGAGTTTCTGAGGCGAGGTCAGCGAGGGCTGCAGCTTCCCGCCAGAGAGCAGTGAGGAGAAGACCCCTCCCACACGTGCTGGTGCCCACCAGTGTGTCACCCACCCCCAGGCTCCGGAGCTAGGCTGGGAGGCACGGCCTCCGACACGCCGATGGGGTGAGTGCTGGCCGTGTCCCCGGCGAGGAGGTGCTGGGCTCCATCCTGGGGCACAGGGCTGGGGCCAGGCAGCTCCCTGACTCGGGGGAGCTCGCTCCAGCAGGCCTGGTCTCGCCAAGGACTTCCGCCAGGGGCTATGGACGGAGTGTTGGACACACCCGGGTCTGAGCTTCCCACCACAGTGAGCTACTGTGCTCTGCGCTGCTCCCTCCGTGGGCTGCTCCCTCCCAAGGCTACGCCCTCCTCTGAGCTGCTCCTCCCCGCCGAGTTGCTCCCGGCTCTGAGTTGCTCCTGCCCCTGAGTGGCTGGTTCTTCTTCGGGGCCCTTGAGAACCGGCTGTCTAGCCCCAGTCCTGGCCCGGCAGTCCCTGGATCCAACAGCACAGTTCTGAGCCGGGCTGAAGTTCTGGCCCCGCCCTGGTAGAGGCCTCCTTGTGGTCTTTCCAGTGGCCTCGGTGCCTCAGAGCCAGGCAGGCAGACGCCACAGTCAGTGTTACAGGAACCGACAGACAGGTGCACCCTGGGCTGGGTGAAGCCACATCGGTAAACTCACCCTTGGGGGGGCAGGACAGTCACCACTCAACTGCACACGCCAAGTGCCCGAGCACCACAGGGCCTGCCTGGAGCGGCTGAGCCCCCCACGCTGCCTGGACAGCCGAAGGCAGACCACGCAGACCACCGGGTCAGAAAGCCCAGACCGCCCGGGTCCGAGGGCGCGGGGTGAGAGGCAGCTGAGGGTGCAGGATGGAGAGTGAAGGGCAGAGGGTCTCCGAACCTCACAACACACACGGGCCTCCCGCACCAGGTCAGTTCCTCTTTCCTGCACACCCTCTCCATCGCTCTCACACAGATACACAGTCCACTGGAGGGCAGTGGGCAGGTGGGGTCTGGAGGACAATGTCCATGTCTCCCCCGCATCCCTGTCAGTCTGCAGTGCCCAGTCAGCTGGGGATGGAGAGGCTCTTTAGAAATCTGTATTTTGTACCTATTTGAGGGGGGACTGGAAGGTGATGTGAAGAGCTACGAAGCTGTTACATTAGTGCCGGGTTATGTAAGACACCGATGTCTCTGCTTCTTTCGTCTCGCTTTTTGTTACATAAATGAAAAGCCATAAAGCAATAAATATCATCCTGGCCCCAGTGTCCAGACAAGATGGGAGCCCTAGCATCGATCATGCAAACCAGGACACGTCTAGGAGCTGGCGTTCACAGCGGCGCTGCCTGCCGGGAGCCACCGCCTGCCGGGGCTGGAACTACAGGCTGGATCCTCTTGGGGTCCCACGGGGACTGTGTCCAGGAAAAACCCAGGGATGCCAGGAGGCTGAGGAGGGACGGCAACAGCCTAGAGCAGCAGACTTGGGGAGAGAGGGGCCTGGAAGGAGCAGCCAACTTCTCTGTCCCTGTGGCATGTGGTGTTAGCACCACGCCCGGCTTCTGACCATAAGAACACAGCAGAGACTCACGGCCACAGAACCACAGAAGCAGAACCAATTTTACAGAGGCATGACTACTGAACCACAGTCTCAGAACCACACCTACAGAACCACATCCGGAGAACCTCAGCACCACAGGAGCAGAACCAAGTCTACAGAGACACGGCTAAAGAGCCACAGTTGCGGGACCACAGCCACAGAGCTACAGTCGCAGAGCACAACCACAAGACCACAGCCACAGAACACAACCACAGAACCACTGCCACAAAATCACAGCCACAGAACCACAGCCACAGAGCACAACCACAGAACCACAGCTACAAGACCACAGCCACAGAACACAACCACAGAACCACCGCCACAAAATCACAGCCACAGGGCACAACCACAGAACCACCGCCACAAAATCACAGCCACAGAACCACAGCCACAGGGCACAACCACAGAACCACCGCCACAAAATCACAGCCACAGAACCACAGCCACAGAGCACAACCACAGAACCACAGCTACAAGACCACAGCCACAGAACACAACCACAGAACCACCGCCACAAAATCACAGCCACAGGGCACAACCACAGAACCACCGCCACAAAATCACAGCCACAGAACCACAGCCACAGGGCACAACCACAGAACCACCGCCACAAAATCACAGCCACGGAACCACGGCCACAGAGAACAACCACAGAACCACAGCTACAAGACCACAGCCACAGAACACAACCACAGAACCACCGCCACAAAATCACAGCCACAGAACCACAGCCACAGGGCACAACCACAGAACCACCGCCACAAAATCACAGCCACAGAACCACAGCCACAGAGAACAACCACAGAACCACAGCTACAAGACCACAGCCACAGGGCACAACCACAGAACCACCGCCACAAAATCACAGTCACAGAACCACAGCCACAGAGCACAACCACAGAACTACAGTCGCAGACACACGCACAGAACCACATTTGCAGAGCCACGCCACAGAGCCACACCGTCCAGCCACACCTGGTAGCAGGCAAGAGTCAGCCTCTCCGCAGTCTCCCCGCTTCTCTCTCTCTCCTTTCTCTTCTGCCTTCCCTCCCCTCCAACTCAAACCAAGTCTGCAAACGCGCTTTGTGCTGGAGCCAGCATGACTCAGAATTGCGATGGTCAGTTACCAGGAGGGAAGAGACGGGGACAAGCTCGGGGACATGGAAGAGTCTGCAATGGCAGCATGGAGAGGTGGAAGCCAGTGGCTCCGCCCAGCCCCGAGGGGTCCCTGGAAGCGGGCGGGGACAGGGGCCCGGTTCCCCTCCCGAAGCCCGGGGAGCCAGGGCCAGGCTGACCTGGGCCTGGCAGCCAGCAGGAAGGGACTCGCGAGACAGCCCCTGTGAAGTGTGCACGGAGACCCCAGGCGGCAGCAAGGCTGCGGGCCACGTCGTGCCTGAGTCACTGGGCTGGCACTTTGGTCTCAGGATCAGAGACACACACGTGCCATGTGCACGGGACCCCCCAGACACCCTTCGGCCGTGGCTGCACACCGAGAGCACCCTGTGGGCCCCGTCTGGACTCAGGACAGGCTGCCGGGACGGGGGTGCTGGTGCCCCGGCCTCATGGACGAGGACGAACAGAGGTCACCGGGGACAGATCCCAGCTGAGCAGGGCAGAGACCCCCTGCTGAACAGAGCCGCCCCCCCGCTGGCACCCACAGATCGGGGGGGGGGGGGCGAGGAAGGCGCCTTCTGAGGCACCATGGGCTGGCGGCTCGCTCCTATTTTTAATCCGGTGGGGGCGAGGTCCCTCCCGCCCACTCCATCTCCTGCTCCAGAACTGAAATAACACGGCACTGCCTTTCCCCGCGGGCCGGGGGCAGCGTCGGGGAGGCGGGCCCGGCCTGCAGCCCAGCCAGGGCACTGCTCCCCCATCCGAAATGCCAGCGATGCTTGGGCAGTGCCCACACCCCCACTCGGGAGGGCGCAGGAGGCGACCGCCCGGAGGAGGCGGGAGCCCAGTGTGGAAGGGACGAACCGGGCCCCTGGCAGGCTGGAGAGCGGCACAGGGAGGCGGCAGCAGCCCCGGCTCTGCAGGAGGAAGGATGCCACGTCCTGGACCACTGGGGTGGGCACAGGCTCACCTGCCATTGCCCCAGAGTCCTCCTGGTCCCTCACTGAGACCCAGGCCGGCCCCTTCCGGGTCCGCTGGCACAAGATGCCACAGGTGGGCCCGAGCATCCCGGGAGGGGCTCCCTCCACCCCCGCAGCGCCGAGGCATGGGGCAGGAGGTCCCAGGCACCCGGCAGGGGTAGGGAGGGGCACGGGGGTGCGGCAGCTGCACCTCCTGGCCCGTGGCGGACACAGGCTCCTCCCTGCACGGCACACGGGCTAGCGACCCGGGTCACTGTGCCTGGTTGCCCAGACGTGTCAGGAGGAGGCCGGTGTCCCTCCACGAGCGTTCCCTCCTTCCCTCCGCACTCGGTGAGCGAGCAGAGCCTGGCCATCGAGAGGCTGCGGATCACCCAAGGCGGAAGGTAGCCACGGTGCTGTCGTCAGAGGTCAATCAAGGGCCACGCACTCTGAAATGTGCGATGGTAAAGCGAGGGACAGAGGCAGGCCCAGCACGAAGGCTTCCGAGACGGACCTCGAGAGCTGGGGGGGCCCCGGGCGGGCAGCGGGATGGCTGTGACCGAATCTGTCCACCCTCGAGCGTGGCAGAGAAGGTGCCGCCAAAGGCCCCGATGCCCCCACGGCGCGCTGCCGCAGGCCTGGGAGAGTCAGGAGCCCAGGGGGCCCCTCACCCACAGGGGGGCTGGCCGAGGGGCTCCTGGCTCACGCACGACCCTGAGCACGCCTGCGGGGTCCTGGTGACCCCAGCACTGCTGGGCCTGGCCAGCACCTTATCTCTGGTGGCTAGGTGAGGGTACAGACACAGCCTGGGAGTCCCCCAGAGGTAGGACAGGCATGCGCAGAGGCCGAAGACAGGGGAACTGCAGTGACCGCAGCGACACCATTCAGCTCCAGGCTGGCTGAGAACAGGGAGGTCCCCCCCGGCCAGGTGCTCCCTCCCTGTTGCTGCCAGGGTGCCCATATCCTGCCTTGTCAGGTAACCCACCCACAGCCCTGCCACGCCCCCAGCCAGCCCCTTCCCGCAGGTGGGCCCGGTCCGCGGAAGATGGAGAGTCGTGGACTGGCCTACAGGGACACGGACAGAGCAGATGTCCTCGGTGACCCCACATATACACAGACAGACACACAGATACATGCAGATGCAAATACTCACACACATACTAACACAGACACACATATACATACACACACACACACACACCAGCACAGAGACACACATGCAGACACATGCACACACTAACACACACCCACATATACCCCCCTCCCTCCCCCAGCGCGGGCCGGTCGGACCAGGGCTGGGGTGCCCACCCCATGGCCCGGTTCCCGGAGGGGGACGGGATTCCTCGAAGCCGGCGAGTGTCGCTAGAAGCCGCACAGCTGTTGCCCGCTCCTGCCCACGTGTGCGCTCGGCCCACCTTCCACGGCTGCTGACGAGAAGCGTCTCGTTTCCTAGAGGACAGGCCACCAGTGACCCTGCTCGCCCGTGGTCCCCTGCCCTGGCCACCGGGAGCCCCGAGATCAGGGGGCGCCCCGAGGGCTGAGAAGGCCCAAACTGCTGTGCTAGCAGCAGAGGGTCAGTGCGGGGCCAGTGCTGGGGGCAGTGTCCTGCCCGCCTGCAGGAGGCGTGAGCAGCAGCCCAGCAGGCACGGGCCAGGGTCTTGCAGTGGCCCTGCAGGAGCGGGACGTGCAGTTAGGTGGCTCCCCACTGTGATGCCCCAGCCCAGAGCAGGGCCACCACTGCCACTGGCCAGGGCAGCCTCGTGTCCATCTCGGCCCCTCTCCTTCTCAAAGCAGCCCGAGTCCCGAGACGGGTGATGGGCACCAGAGCCGCTCTCCCAGGGGGAGTCACCTCGGCTCCCGTCTCAGGCCTGCGACCTGCAGGGCCCAGACTCTCCTGCCCCCAGAGCCACAGGACAGGCAGAAACCGCACGTCTGAAACCAGCCGCCGCCAGAGCTCAAGGTGCCAGGCCAGCCCAGCACACGCCCACGGCACACGGCCCCCCGCACAGGCCTAAGCAGGTGGCCCTCGGCCAGGGCCCACGGCACACCAGCGCACGGGCTGAGCCTGGGACCCGGTGCTCCCTCCTCCCAGCCCAGGGAGCCCCCTGCTGACCCACCCAGGGGAGCCCCCCAGAGGCGCCCACGGTTCTCTGGGCCAGTGGCCAGAACACAGCGTCTGCCGTCACCCCCAGGGCCCAAGCCGGATCACTGCAGTTTCCTATAAGGCTTAAATAATTTATGGGAGAGGAAGAGCGTGGCCACTGGCACCGCGGCTCCACGACGATCAAAGCTGTAGCCCAGGCGAGGGCAGAGGCGGGTCCCACTATTTTAAGACACTGGGAAACGTTGAGCGTCACCAGGCCACCACGGGGCTCCACGGGACACGGGGCGCCAGTCCCCTGTGTCTGAGCCCCCCCTTCGGGGACCCCCTGGAAAGCCCCCGGTGTCCCCACCTGCAGCAGCGAGACCGCGGGAGGCCCTGCGCAACCCAGTGGGCCAAAGCCAGGCCCCCGCCGGGTGCAACCAGCGCAGACTTGGTGGACCGGCAGGGCCCCACCTGTGGGGCGCGCCCGGCCCCGGGCACACCCCGGCTGCCCCACGGGGCCCGGTGGCTGGTGGGGGCACGGAGGACGCAGGCCGGCGCCCTGGCGCGTGGGCACCGCTGGCAGGGCGGGCGCGCGCGTTTCCTTGGAGACCGAGGCGCGGGGACGGCCCCACCCGGTGGCCGCGGTCCCGCCGCGTGGGAGCGCGGGTGCCCACGCCGCGGCCGAGCTGGGTCCCGCCCGCCGCGCTCACCGTCCTCCTTGTCGTCAAACACCGGCCTCCGCGCCGTGGCCGCCGACATGGACGAGCTCATCCGCTTCTTCCACTTGCTCCACGCGAAGAGCGGGCGCGGCTGCGCGCGGGCATCGCCCGAGTCCCGGCGGGGCTGGCCGGCGGCGGGCGGCGGCGCGGGGGGCGGCGAGCCGGGGGGCGCCGCCGCGCCGCTGCCCCTGCGCTCCGCGCCGCTCCTCATGGCCAGGCCGGGGCTCCGGGCATGGCCCACAGGCGAGCGGAGCCGGCGGCCGGCAGCGCCTCCTGCGCGCGCGGCTGCCGCGGGCTGAGCGCACCGCGCGGGGCGGGGCCGGGCCGGCGCGGGGCGGAGCGACGGCGGGGGCCGGGCGGAGCGACGCGGGACGCGGCGGAGAGACGCGGGAACCGGGCGGGGAGACGCGGAGGACCGGGCGGAGAGACGCGGGGACCGGGCGGAGAGACGCGGGACGGGGCGGAGAGACGCGGGGATCGGACGGAGCGACGCGGGGACCGGGCGGAGCGACGCGGGGACCGGGCGGAGAGACGCGGGACGGGGCGGAGAGATGCGGGACGGGGCGGAGACGCGGGGACCGGGCGGAGAGACGCGGGGACCGGACGGAGAGACGCGGGACGGGGTGGAGAGATGCGGGACGGGGCGGAGACGCGGGACGCGGCGGAGAGACGCGGGAACCGGGCAGGGAGACGCGGAGGACCGGGAGGAGAGACGCGGGGACCGGGCGGAGAGATGCGGGACGGGGCGGAGAGACGCGGGGATCGGACGAAGCGACGCGGGGACCGGGCGGAGAGACGCGGGACGGGGCGGAGAGATGCGGGACGGGGCGGAGACGCGGGGACCGGGCGGAGAGACGCGGGACGGGGCGGAGAGATGCGGGACGGGGCGGAGACGCGGGACGGGGCGGAGAGACGCGGGGACCGGGTGGAGCGACGCGGGACGGGGTGGAGAGACGCGGGGACCGGGCTGGGAGACGCGGAGGACCGGGCGGAGAGACGCGGGGACCGGGCGGAGAGACGCGGGACGGGGTGGAGAGACGCGGGGACCGGGCGGAGAGACGCGGGACGGGGTGGAGAGACGCGGGGACCGGGCGGAGAGACGCGGGACGGGGTGGAGAGACGCGGGGACCGGGCGGAGAGACCCGGAGACTGGGCGGAGAGACGCGGGGACCGGGCGGAGAGATGCGGGACGGGGCGGAGACGCGGGGACTGGGAGGAGAGATGCGGGACGGGGTGGAGACGCGGGGACCGGGCGGAGAGACGCGGGGATCGGGCGGAGAGACGCGGGACGGGGTGGAGAGACGCGGGGACCGGGCGGAGAGACGCGGGACGGGGTGGAGAGACGCGGGGACCGGGCGGAGAGACCCGGAGACTGGGCGGAGAGATGCGGGATGGGACGGAGACGCGGGGACCGGGCGGAGAGACGCGGGACGGGGCGGAGAGACGTGGGACACGGTGGAGAGACGCGGGACAGGGTGGAGACGCGGACGCAGACGCGGGACGGGGTCTGGGAACGAGCGGAGCGACGGGGGACCCTGGCCTGGGGATGGGCGCGGTGCAGGAGCGACACGGGACGGCGTAGAGAGACGCGGAACCGGGCGGGGAGACGCGGGGACCGAGGGGAGAGACGCGGGACGGAGCGGAGAGACGCGGGAACCGAGTGGAGACGCGGACACAGAGACGCGGGACGGGTCTGGGAATGAGCGGAGCGACCCGGGGCTCTGGCTGGGGATGGGGTGGTGTAGGAGCGACGCAGACGGGGTGGAGATGCGGGAGGGGGCCTGGGAATCTGCGGGGAGAAGCGGGGCAGAATGACGCGGAGGCTGCACGTGGGGCCGCCCCTCGGCCACTCTCCCCATCGGAGGGAGCCGAGAGTCTGTCGAGTCTGTCGACCCGGCCGGGAGCAAGAACCAGGGGAGGGGACCCCCAGAGCTCGCGGGGTCCATCCAGCCGGGCGGCGGCTTTGGCTCTGGAACAAACACACTCGCCCTCCTGCTGGGCAGGTGGCAGGCTGAGCTCCGGCCAGAGCACATGTGGGGTCCCCACAGTTGCCAGGTCACAGAGCCACCTCCTGCCCCACACCAACCCTTCCCGTTCCCCGGCCCCTGGGAGCTGGACACACTCCAGCCCCTTGCAGGCCTAGGAAGACCACGAGATGTGAGCGAGGTGACCTTTGTCCTTTCTGGGCTGCTCTGAGGGCCAGTGTCCAAAAAATCACAGATGTCCTAGGCTGGCACCCAGCACTTTAGACCATCTGCATACCCGCCAGCCCCCGGGGCCCACACCAGCCTGCAGACCCTTCTAATACCTGGGTCCCTTCAGCAGAAAGCTGGCCAGTCTCTGGCCCCGGACCTCAGCTCGACGCAGAGGCCCTTCCCCGGCCAGGCACAGCTGATGGCAGCCGGGCCATGGGCTCCTACTGAGCCCCGAGTGCAAGGAGCAGCCCAGCCCCTCAGCAGGGCCTCTGGGAGGGGACGCCGCCCAGCGCCTGTGGGGATGGGGCCTCCCCGGCTGGACACATGTCCACGGCTCAGTCCCCACGAGCTGAGCACAGACGTGCGGGTCTCTGTCAGTGCTGCCTGACCCCACGTCCCCCATGTGCTCGACATGTCACTGTGGCTGGGACTTCCCTGATTGCCCGGCTGGCCGATCCCTCTCCCCAGACCGGCAGTCAGGATCCCCCCGGGGGACGTGCTGAAGCGCACGGAGTCGGACCCAGGAGGCAGGAGCTGGGACTGTGTTGGCTCTGCCGCTGCCTGGCCACCTGCATCTTGCCGTGACTCCCAGAGCTGCCCAGGGGTGGCTCAGGGTCCCTGCTACTGCAAGGGGGTGTCCTCAGCTCTCGGTCACCTCCGGGGCTTCTGCAGAGCCAGAGTCTGTGTCTCTGCTCCCATCATGCCCTCTCAGGCTGCATCCGTCCCTGCAAGGACCACACGCTGTGGGGGGCGGTGTGAGGGCCACAGGGGACAAGGGGGGGCGGCTCACCCCCAGACACCCCAGCCCTCCAGCCCTGCCCCGTCTGGGACCCTCCTGCGCTCACTTCCTGGGAGATAATGGGGTGCTCTCTGCTTGGGGAGACTCAGGACCGATTGAGCAGACCCACCCTCTGCTCGCGAGCAAAGCCCCCCAATTCCTGGCACCAGCGGGTCCTTGGGCGGGGGAACGGGGCGTGGCCGCCGGGCAAGACCCGCCATTGGTTGTTCCTGGTTTCCGTCCGCTTCCCGATTGGTTGTCTTACACGCCCTTATTTGCATAGGGCACGTGGCATGGTCGGTAGCCAATCAGGTGCGAGGGGCGGGGTTATGCGGGAACCCGGGAAATCCACCTGTTCGAAGGCCCTCGTGGGACTCGGTGCGTCCCTTCTCGACGCCTTTGCCCCAGGTGCGCTGGCCTGCTGAGCGGGCCCGGGGGACAGTGGGGGCCGGCCTCCCCACCTCCCACCCCCAGGGCCTGGGAGGTGCTGGGCCACCGGTCCCGCTCGTGGGTGGCCCGTGCTCTGGGTGGGGGTGGGCGTGCGGCACAGCCCGAGGCCCTGCGAAGCTGCGTCCTGGCCTGCGTGGGGTGCAGCCTCTTCCCCCCGTGGGCCGCCTTGAGAAGGGGCCCTGCGTCTCAGCTGCTGCTTTATTGCCTTCTGGGCCACACGAGGCAGGGCTCAGGGCTTTCTCCAGGCTCTGTGCTCAAGCATCACTCCTGGCAGTGCTCGGCTGGCAGTGCTCAGGGATCTAACACAAGGCCACGTGCAAGGCAAGTGCCCGACCTGCTGTACTGTCTCTTTGGCCCCCAGCAGATGCAGACATCTCCAACACTTGCCAGGGACTGACAGCGCTCGGTGTGTGGAAGGCCGGCTCCTGCTCACTGAGCCTCTGGGAGCACTGGGCTGCTTCCAAGTGATGCAGAGCAGCCTCGGCCCTTGCCTTCACGGGCCTGTTGGAGAAGCAGGTTCCTCGGCGCGGTGGGTGCCCCAGGCCCCGCTCTGCCTCCCTGCCTCCCGCCACAGCCGCAGCTTCTCACAGTGTTGGGAAGAATGGCACTTGCAGAGACCGGGGATGACACACACAGACCGACTCGGGTCTGCAGGCTCTGGGGACCCGGCACCTGCCCCTGAAGTCCAGCTGCCCACACCTGGCTCCCAAGGGCAGGAGGCTGGGGAAAGCCGTTCCTGCAGGAATGAGCAGAGGCTGGGGTGGGGGCGGCGGGGGTGGCCTGAACCCAGGACCCGGAGTTGGCACTGCTGCTGCAGCACTGAGGGCGAGGAGACAGGGGCTCGCTCAGAGACCCCCACATGCAGAGGCCGCCACCAGGGGGGCAGACAGCGAGTCTGCAGCAAGTGGGCACGGGGGGGGGGGTGACCAGGTGTGGGTGGGGACAAGGGGGGCAGGGGGCTCGACTTCGAAACAATTTTTCGGGTTTCCTGGGGGATCAAGGACAAACCTGGGAGATGTTTGAAGGAGAACAAAGCCTGGAGACAATAAAATATGGAAAAGAGGCCAAAAGAATAGAAACAAACCATGAAAAAAAGGAAAGTCCCCAGCCAGAGTGGACAGCAGTCCCTGCAGTGACCCGTGGGACAGTGCGAACAAAGAACACTCTTCAGAGGGGACAGACAGGCCAACTTCCTGAGGACATCGGAATTGTCCTTGGAGCTGGCCCAGGGTCCGAGCACCCTCAGGGTAGTGCCAGCCCATGCTGCCCGTTCCAGCCTGCTGTCCAGAGCTGTGCCTGGGGCGCCGCTTCTCAGTGTCGGTTCCAGGCGCAGCATGGGCACTGCGCCCGGGTCTGGAGGACCAGCGGCTGGGGTGGCCGCGTCCCTGTCTCTCCACTGTGGTCTGCGGACAGTCCTGACCCGCTTTCCGCGGTCTTGCTTTACCTCTGCCGGGCGCGCTCACTGCTGCGGGCACCTCGTTTGTCACTGTCGAGCCCACAATGGGACTCCGGAGCCACGAGCCACGGGCTTTCAGGCCGCGTCCCGCGAGGGGGTCTCGCTTTCCCTCCTGCGCGCTCGGTGCGCGGCTGGTTCCCAGACGGGACGGGGCAGCGCGGGACACGGGGACTCGGGGACAGGCCCCCCCCCCCACCAGCCGCCCGCGCCCCGCCTCCCCTCCCGGCCTCTGTCCAGGCGTCTCCAGGGCGACCGCGTGGCCCGGCCTCCTTTGTTGGGCCGCGTGCGTGCGTCGGGTCCGAGCGCAGGCGCTTAGGAGGTGCGGCAGGTAGGAGCAGGGAGGGCCT